TCTGAATCCCTTCCTCTTGTCCATTAGAGTGTGACTCAGTTTGAGCACCAACCTGACGACAGGTGGGGCCTTGTGACAAACTCGTGGAGGCAGAAAAGGTTTTTTTCCTTCCTCAAGCCGCAGCTTCGCCTAAGCGTTACGTCTCTGAGAGGACTTCACATGTTGAAAGGCAGCAGCTGCCCGAAAAAAACAGATTGCAGCATGCCTGGATAAACAGATACACACAAAACATATACATACACATGTGCTCTGCAAACTGTGGACATTTTATGGTTTTGTCTTTAAAAGCTCTTAAAGAAGTTTTCTCTCAACTCAAATCCCATCCTGCCTTTTCCCCACAGCTAATTTGCTCTAAACCTCCAGCTTGTGGTAACTGGGGCCCAAGGCCAGCCTCTACACTCGCCTTGAATGCACCAGTAGCAGGGCCGGCGATTGCTACAGGCGAGCTAGGCAATTGCCTAGGGCGACAAATGTGTTGGGGGCGCCCTCTAGCGTCGCCCTTAGGCTTACTTCCCATTAATCATAGAATTAGAAAAAAAAAGCGAATTAAACCGGTTATGAAGCGTCCGTCAGTTTGACTTAACCTTACGTATATATAAATAGCAAAATACGAACAAATAAATATACCACCGTTTTTTTATTTATTTTTTCACATTTAAGAGAAAATCGGAAAAGATTCTGATCACTTTCCAAGCGCCCTCCAACCCGGAAGTCGTGACGTCAATCACTGCAGCATGTCCACCAATGTTTTGGAATGAAATTGTAAGCAAACGTAATTGCTTAACTTTGCTCGCGGTCGGGCCCGTCTTAATCATCCACTCAGAGTACCACTGGTAAGCGCACACAGACTTTGTAGCTTGTCCGGTCAGTTAAAAATATTAATTGTGAAATCCGTGTTGTAATCGGAAGCATACAAGCTAGTTAGCTTGAAAAGTAAATAAAGTTTCAGACGTGCTGCGTGATGATGTGTTCAGATTGGCTCAGTAAAACGACAATTAGGTTATCATGATGCGTTCAAGTGTAACGTAAACGGGAAATTTTGTTTTTGGCGAGAAACATGAGTAATACAGTTGTATATTGCTCTATATATAATTAAACTACTGATGCCAACATTTATTAAAAATTACATTTAATTTAAAATACAATTATTTATTTGTTAAATATTTTCCTAATCACTAAAAACATGATGAAAAGTGACAGTAGACAATACATTAACCAACAATTGTGAAAATATATTCTAGTTAGTTTTATGTCATTTCGAAGTGGCCTATTACATTAGCCATGTTTATTGAAGGCTAGAAACCTTTTTGTTATGCTCACTTGTTAAGCAATAGAAGCAATACCAGTTCTGTTAAAAAAATTTTGTTGCATCGTCTTTCCACCAAATAACAGAAAAGTATCGATAGTGGTATCGATAAAGACTCGGATCGACAAGGAGTATCGATAAAGGTATCGATATCAATAAATATTAACGATCCCCATCCCTAATCTTGACATCATTTTTTTCTCAGTATATATATGCAGCAGAATTATGTGCTATATTATTAGCTTGAGAATGGGTAGAAGATACTAATATAAATAAAATATTTTGTAGTGATTATCTGCATTGAGTATTCAAAAGGGATGTACAAATAATCATAAAAATATATGAAGTTATGGCTGTTCATCATAGAATATGTGAACAAAAAAAACAACAACAACTTCAAACTTTTAATCTTGTAATGGTATTCATAAAAGCACTTTTGTTTGTAGAGGGTTAATCCTTTCTTTAATCACTAATCAATGTCAGAAATCAGGGTAAATATACCTGATATATTTTATTTAGAGGAAAATTTTGTTTATCTCATTTCTATTTATGTTCAAATGATTTAATTGAACTGGAACAGAAAATTTAATTTAATGTTTATCAATTACTTTTTTATGTAGTCCTTGGTTGAAGAATTTCTTAAATTTATTATTTTTTATTGTTATTTGGTAATTTCTGAAATTGATTTATTTAATATTTGTTTAATGTGTGTTAAATTTGTTAATTGTCTGAAATAAATTCATTCAATTATTCAATCCAGTTTTTTAGTTATACTTTACCTAAGTGTCCTTACAGATGGTTAAAAGTGTTTTTGCACAGTCCTAACTTTGAGTGTGTAATAAATTATTTAAAATAATAAAAAGGAAAAGGTACTGAAATCTATTCTGGTATTTGTCTATGCATCACTCCATGCTAAGTTAAAGTTTTTTCTGAATGCTTAAACACAACCTTGATTCTTATAGCACAATTTGTAAAACTATTAATACTTATAGGAAATCCACTCACTGAGTTCACAAAACTAAAAGAACAAACACTGCTTTGCACTCAATTTGCAATTTTGTAACACACACATTGCACAACTGTAGGCACAATTCACCGCACAGCACTCTTTGTGGAACTGTAAACACAACTCAATGAAGCACTTAACAGATGCTGAAAACAGTACTGGTATTTCGCACGGCAAAAGTGGGGGGGGGGGCCGCAAAACTCAATCTCGCCTAGGGCAACCAAAGGGCTAGAACCGGCCCTGACCAGTAGAAATTGGATTTCATTCACATGACTGAACCCCTGCTTCTCCTTTTGATGTTTTTATACCATGGCATTATTTCAGCTTTTCTTTATCACCTTACTCCTCCTCAAGATGGTTCATCTGCCTGACTTCATCTTTCTTTCCTTTTCCCATCACAGTTGCAGCTGATGATGTTCAGGGTGCCTTAAGTGCCTGCAGGTTCCTGTCAGTCTAGCTCTGCACTGACTGCACATGAGGAGATAAGCAGCATGTTGAGCTAATGGCTACAAGTAGAATCAAAACAGTATCACATTCTATTGACGTTCAAGTGCCGTAATAAATGAAATATGCATCTTACTGTCATCTTGTCTGTTCTCAGAAGTCTTTCATCCTTGGCAGCCATCCATGGTACTTCTCTATTGTACACAGAAGAAAATAGCTTTTACACTTTCAGATTCAGCTTGTGGCACACTGAATACATAAGTAGGGGTTGATGGATTCTTATTTTGATGTTAATATCTGTGTGTTTACAAGTGGTTAAGCAGTAGAACCATCCAGATTAAACAAGTGAATAATGCAGAACAAATATTTTTGGGAAAACTACTGCTAATTTACGATAACAATAACAATGGCGTCATAGAAAGAAAATCTATTCTTAAACAGCAAATCGATAAATGTTTTTCTTAAAATTAGATAATATCAGGGGGTGGGTGAGATGGGGGACGTCTGAGCTGTGCAATTTGATTTGGGGACGTGAGGGACGTGTAGAGGACATCTATTAAGACACAGAACACAATGCTCATAGTCTGATTGCTTAAATTAGTGGCCGCTTATTTGCGTTCACTGCAGAATCCTCTACAAAGCTTTTTGTTTTGTTAATTAAGCCAGAGCAACTAGTATGCGTGCAACTAGCATACTAAACCACAAAGAGGAGAGAAGGAGGGTTATTATTCTGGTCTCTTGCACATCTGAGGAATTATAGATGGTATTTTAGGATTTGCACAAAAGATTAGCTACCTAAATTTATGTTTGCTACAATTTGTTTTCCGTTCTCAGAGAAAAAAAAAATCTTTAGAGATTTTGTCTGCAGTTGGATTATTGCCAGCAGCCTCTGTTTTGTTTTAGCAGAGGAGATTTCTTCAAACAAGCTATTGAATTTGTCAGATGATAAATGTGGAGGCGAATTAAGTGTGGACTTTGCTTTGGTTAAGGTTGAGACAGTCTGTTCTCATAAGCTTAAAGCTTTTTTTTTACTAAATAAAAGACTTCTGAGGAAACCCATATATGTGAGTGGCACACGAACTTGTTCTCCTCTTCTTAGTGCTTAATAAAAATGTCTACATACATTTTTTTGAAACAAATATATATATATAATATCAAAATATAATATATTTAATACTTTTTCTTGTTTAATGAAATGAAAACATACAATTGTCAAAGAAATAACTTGAATCTCACAAAAATAATTACTTTTCAGCTACTTTTCAACCATGCTTCAGCAGAATTATTTTAAGAATACGCTCATGAACCAAATTCCTTTATTGGACTTACAGTATGTTGATTTTAAAAATGTGTTTTAATCCACCAAAAGTGGAAGGACTCGACAAGATCAATTTATGTACCGAACCTAGTTTGTTGATATATGGAAGAAAATGTTCTGAGTTCTATGTGTCAGAGCCTTCAATGAATGCGGTAAAATAATTAATATTTTTCAGAGTTTGAGTTGCTACCCATCAAACAAATCCCTGAAAAACTGGATCATATGGATCTGATCTCAATACAATATTCCATACATCACTGTTCAACTTTTTTTTTTTTATTATAATAATAAAAAATTGCATTGGTTATTGTAAGTGTATTACAAAAAACATTGTCTTCTGCATTCAACTCATTCATTAGGAATAGTGGGCAGCTTCCAGCTAAGCCACCACTCCCCTTCATTTGTAATTAAAGACAAAAAAATGTTTTCTAAAAAATTTTGATGTTTTCAGTGTTGTGAAACACCAAATGGCTGCTTCTTAGACTTTATCACCTCTCATCATGTCGCAGTGACTGTGCAGACAGTGAACCTCTCATTAATCAGTCAAATCAGCCTCAAATGAGGCGGATACACCAAGTGCTAATGGGGCTTGTTGGAGTTCAGTGCTTTCAGAATGGTTTTCTTTTTTTTTGTTTTGAAAGCTAAAATCTCATGACACAGCGCAGGACTGTCTCCTGCTTCCTCAAAATAACATTCCTTGTCCTTTTCCATGGCCTGTTTAGCATCATTTGTTTCCCCTTGAAGGTTTGTTTATCCTGCTGGTCTTTGGATGCAGGATTTGGTCATTTGTCCCCACTATACTGTTTGAAAACTGTAATCATAAAAATTGATTTTACGTCTTAAAACAGTGATCTAGATTTATTTATTGTCCTAAATGTTTGCACTGATTTCCTTCTGTTGTTTTTGTGTGTGCTTTCCTCAAAAAGGATGCAAAGCTGCGCGAGTTGCTGGATGTCAGCACACTGGCGGGGAAGATGGAGAACAGGATGCTGACAGTGGTTAGTGGCACTGACATGGTCAACATCACCTACCTGAACTTCATGGCGTTTCAAGAGGAAACGGCAAAGGTATTTATTCTCAACATAAACATGTCTAATAGATGACAAACCTATAAGATAAAATATTCTAGCATAATGTGCGTTGGTCTAATTTCTGCAGGAATGGGCTGAGGAATTATTCAACTTGGCGTCTAACCTTTTGGCACAGAACATGTCCAGAGAGGCCTGCCTTGAAAAAGCGTATGTTATTTGAACACAAGCATGTTCACACATGGAAGCAGCCTTAGAAAAAAATAAGTTACAAATCTGTGTCTTCAGATATAGACATGAAAATTGAGTCTATGGTACAACAAAGAGGCAAGACATGTCCTGTGTCACTGAAGTCTTGAGCTATAATATACAGAAAAGTACATGATACATAAAGTATATACACTGGCTTCTTTATTATTTATGTATAGTTTTATGTAGAATTAATCATATCCATTGAACTTTTGCATATTCTGTCATTTTGTCATTCATAAATGTCTTTTTATTTCAGGATATAGGTGTATTAAACTGATGGAAATGTTTGTACACTTTTAATTTAACTGAAGCTCCTTCTGGCATGCTCTAAGCCACATCCATCACACTCGACAAATGCTCATAGTCTGATTGCATATATGTGAAGTTTCTCAGTCATCCAGGTCATGGTCAAGCTTGAAATGTTTAGTTTAGGCAACTGAATGTGTTTGTCCAGTGTAGTTATACACTACCACAGTTGCCTGATTATTTAAAATAGTGGCTGCTTATTTGTATTTACTGCACAATCCTTTACAAAGTATTTTTAGTTTAGTTTTGTTTTTTGTTTTGAGTCAGAGCAACCATTTCTTCAACCTTGACCACCCTTTCTGTACCTTCCTCCACTCAGCATAATGCTGCCACCGACATGTTGTAAAATGTTTTTTTATAATATGATATGCAGTGTTTATTCCTCATTAGGCTGCCCTCGTCAGAGCATATTTTCAACAGCTGTTTGTTGTGAACCAGAAATTTTAATCTTTATGGCCGTCTTCCAACAATCACTTTCCTTTTACAGCTCTTTCATAAGGGCCGGGGTCAGGCGTAGAGGTGTATATTTGGTTTAGGTGCAGCTCTCTCTTCTGAGTGGCACATGTACCAGATCTCTTGCAGCTTAAGAGGGCACAGCTGACTCCACTCTGTCACATTGCATGCAGTTGGGAGAGGAGCTACTTTCTTGTCCATGTTAGCAGTATCTGCAGCTTATCCTTGGTGGTGAAACTTGGTTTTGCTTTTTAGGCTCCAGTTGATCACAGGGTTTGTTGCTTCTGTCACTATGAGTAAGGCTAACCCTTTGTGGTGCTTCTGTTTAAGAAAAGGAATATTTTTCACTTGACTGATGCCTCGACTTGATAGATGACATAGAATCATCTATCTATCTATCTATCTATCTATCTATCTATCTATCTATCTATCTATCTATCTATCTATCTATCTATCTATCTATCTATCTATCTATCTATCTATCTATCTATCTATCTATATCTATCTATCTATCTATCTATCTATCTATCTATCTATCTATCTATCTATCTATCTATCTATCTATCTATCATAAGCTTACTTCTAGGTTGTGGTCCTACAGAAATAACCACTTGACCTTGTAAATGTGCCTCCAGTCTGACAGACTCATAATTAGTTGTCCCCACACCAACCCATGTGGATTATTTGTGTCAAACTGCTTACTACATCATGGTCACCTCTGTGAGACACACATTCACTCGTCCATAGTGTTTTATCTGCTTGGTGCGAGACTGAATGATGTTCCTACAGAGTGAGCTTAAATATAAACGTGAGCCGTTGCTTTTAGTGAATACCCAGAGCTCTGTTTGGGGACATCTCCCTGCCGTCTGATGTTTATCAGCGAATGGAAGCCATTAACTCACACCCTTGAGGAGGCTAATTGACTTATGAGACAATAAAAGTGGCCATCGACCACATAGCATGGAGAGGGGTTGAATAAAATTGAAGAGAGCGGCTTTTTTAGCCATGTTGGTTGCTCACAGCAGTAGCGGCGGTGCACTGCTTGCTTTAAAAACCGACAATAGTTGTTATTCCCACTCCTATGATATCAAGAGGTTTTATCCCTGAAATGATGTTGATGTTTCTCCACATGGGGTCAATTCTCTCTCGCTCTCAAGGCTTGATTCGTTTTTCTATTGTAGGTGGGCTAAGACATGTTGCCAGCAGCAGGAATCCATAAAATCCTGCAGATTTTTAAATGAACATTTGCTACAACTTGTTCTTTTGTAATGTGTTTTAGCTAAGAAAAAAAGAATAATTTAATAATTACAGTGAGAGTAGCACATATGGGAGTAAGATCACATTTGATAAAATAGGATTTTTAAACCACAATGTTAAGATAAGCAATTATCAAAAAAATATTTGATTAAGTTGTCTTTGTCATTTCTCTTTTCTTCTCCTGCCAGTGCAAGGCAGTTCTAGCTGTCCGGATAAAGTTAGTTTGTTGTTATTCCCATTTTGTAAAAGAATGCTTGTGAAAACAAGTCTGTCCCTTTAACCATTAAAGGCATCTGTGACTTTCCCTCAGGCAGCCAGTCTATAAGAAGTGGACATTGTAATGGATATTAATTATTAGCCAGCAGCCACTTAAAGCCCAACCTGTAATGATAGCTCCTGTTGCAGCTGAGCTATTTATAGACCGCGCTGTTGCTGCTGCTGCTGCTGCTGCTGTACTGCTTTGCACTGCCAACACTTGAGACTTCCAGGGATTAACCGCATTTCTAATCTGCAGTGTAAACATAGGCAGACATTCAAGGTATGCAAAGTAAACATTACATGTGCACTCACTCGGTGATGTGCAGATAGAAGTGTCTATATCTGCACACTGATGGTGCCCCATATGCACCGCAATATTTGTAGTGTACTGTATTTTTTTGGATGTATATTATTTTACACATATAAGTAACATAAAAGCCAACATATAGAAGGTATAACATTTGCTTTTTAATATGAACATTAGCTTCATTGCTTTGCACTATTGTTGATATCCAGATTTTCCACATTATGCTTTGCTAGGGCCACAAACCTGAGTGTTTTACTCTGAGTCATATGTGAAACTGCCAAAGCTCGCACAAAATTGTGATATAAAAATAAACTGGGTTTTCCAGGTGTAATACCAATTAGGTAAAGGATGTTAATTCTTAAATATGGCTTACTTTTCTGGTCTTTACTAATTTCTAAAAATATTTAAAAAAAACTTTGTTTCGCATTTTCATGTTGGGGTTTTGTGTGTGGTGTTTGAGGAAAGAGATAAATATAATGCTGTTTGGAATAAGGCAGTAACTGAATATGGAAAAAGTACAGCACTGTGAATACTTTCCACATGCACTAAATGTCTTAAATTTTGTGTCCAACTGTATGTGGAAATCATCCCCATCATTATATCATAGACTTTGTGGACTAGCATGAGATGGCCTCTGATATAAGCTGCTCAGATGACACCACAACAATGCACCCACCTTCGAACAATTTGAACTTTTGTGAAGGCCCAGGCAGCATATCCAGCAGTGCCTCTGGTCTGCCACTTAGCAACACATAATGGGTTTTAAAGAGCTGTACAGCACTGGGGCTGGACAATAAGGCCAAAACTTCTATAGAAAATATATTTCTTAAAATCAGTTGATATGATATAATTTCATTATCGATATAAACTCCTAAGGGGAGTGTCGGCCTAGAGGTAGGGCTTTACGCTTGGAATCCAGAGGTGTTGATTTCAAGCCTCAATCCCACAGACTGCCACTCTGGGTCCCTGAGCAAAGACCCTTAACCCCACACTGCTCCCCGTGCGCCACACAATGGCAGGCCACAGCTCCACAAGGGGATGGGTTAAATGCCATGAGTTCTTTCCGTTGCTCTGTACTTGTGACAGTGTAATGACAATAAAAGCAGAAAAAAATAAAGACTCACAAGAGTGCCCACAACTGATCCTTTATAAAATTCTAATGCAGTCTATAAATTTCCTCCAACAAATTTTCATTTAAATAACTGATCTATTTTAATTTGGCCCTCTACGTTGAACAGATGAAATGCACATTTAATCATGTAATTATCTCTACCTACCCAAGGTTTATTGCCTCTATTCCAGTTTCTGTCATTGATTCCTTTATTCACTCCTGGTAGTTGTCATACATTCAAGATGAAAAACCCACCTAAGCCTGAAAGACTATGTTAACAAGTCACAATAAAAACTTATTAAATCTGAAACATCTAGCTTTTGAAAAGCTCTTGTTGACACTATAGGCAAAGCTTTACAAGGATTTCTTTATTTCAGCTTGTTAAGATTTCCTACCTTCTCTCTCATTAATGTCGTAGCTTTCACCTGCTCTAGGCTTAATTTATTATGGTTCTGTTTCTTAATAAAACTTTATTTATTATGCACTTCTAATTTTTAGTAATACAAAACAGATCATCCTTATGTTTCTGTTTTTACACGGCCAGAGCAAAAGTTGAAAACAGATGTTTTCTAGTGTAAACCAAACCTTTATCACAGCAAAGAGACAAGCTGAATCCATTCACTCATCTAATCGGCTATGAGTCCGTGACAAACGGCATACTAACCAGAGACTGTAATGTATCTTAGAAAACCATAAATGTGTTTTAAAGTTATTTCATCATTATTGAATAAAAGGATATAAAGTTATGAATAGATATTAAGCTATTGTCCAACCCTGTAAACTTCCTTTAGAGCTGCCTTATTAAAAGAAGCAAACAGGAGGCAATGTGGTGCTGTGGATGAGCTGCAGGATTGAAACAATGACTGATTTTAATAAGAAACAGACAAAACAAAGCAAATGGAAGTCCAGTGTGAAATTTGTCAAATGGCATACAGGGGACAGATTAACTATGTAGAAGAATAGGTTTGGGTCAGATGAAACGCAAATGGAACTTTTTGCTTTAAATTAAAAATCTCAGTGTCTGTTAGAGCTATGCTATGCACTTTGGTACCAAAAGAAAGAGGAAACATACAAAGAGAATATGGCAGTTCAGAAATTTCACACAGAGACAGCGCTTTAGCATTTGGTTTAAAACACATTCTCCGTCCGTTACAGATACACTCGACTGAAGCTGCAGCTCAACCCCGAGGGACGAATTCCTGTCAAGAAGTAAGTCTTTCTGACTCATCCTTCTCTCCCCTGGCACCTTTCAGCTCTTTTGATCAGTGCATACTGTAGCTTGCTCAGTCTTTACACTTTACTCTGGGCATTTGTGCACTTCAATATCCACAGCTTTACTGTGAATGTTAGAATATATTGGAATGTATAATCCCTCACCTTTTCCTTATCCATTTTGGTATTCATTTTTATTTTTAATGTAAAGTATGTTATCTGATTTGTTATTAAAGCGGCAGTTATGTAGCATACATTTGGGGGTGTGAAGTGAATCTTTTGTTTGTTTCTGGTTAGAGGGTATTAGTTTCATTTGTCTGGGTCTTTGTCATCACCTCAATGAAAAACTAACTCCATCTATTGCCATTACTCAAGTTGAGCTTACAGGCAGCAACAGTGAACCTCTGTGATAACCTCCCTTAGAGCCACCGTGGAAAGCAGTGGGTGTCAAAACAGAGAGCCAGCGACACGCTCCTCACCGTTTAGGGAATTAACCTCCTGGCTGGGAGGACATGTCTGCTTGAGTAATGTCAGTTTGACGGTGCTGTCCCACTGAGCGTACAGCATGTCCTCATAGATCCACACAGGCATACCTCAGCCAATAAATAAAACACACTACAGCAGATGAAAAACAAGTCTAAACAATCATGTGGAATCTGTAATGAACCAGAGATCACTGCAGTAAATCATATTTATTTTCTGTGTATGTAAGAGTAGAACAAATTACAGTTCAGCTTCTACATTATGCTACACCAGTCAGAAATAGCTGATATCTATTGTGATATAAAAAATAATAACTGTTTATTGTCTTAACTATTATCTTAATGCATGTATGATGAGAAATAAGTAGGCTTTTAAGTCTTATGTTAGTTTTGTGCAAAAATAAAAATGTCTTCAGCATGTCTGCCGATTCCCAAAATTTTTTGCTTTTCTAACACCAAATCATTTTTTTCTATTGATTGCTCACAGTTATGGTTTTATGTCTCCAATATGTAAGCTCTCTCAGGGAGAGGTCATACATAGTTAATTTGGTTTGATCAGGGACCACAATCTTTCAGATATCATAAGAGCTGCCTTAACCTATAGGGGTAATATTAATATTTTGTGAGATTTTAATGTTGTCAAATCAGTTTATAACACATTAAAGACAAGAGAAATGTGGTATTTCGACAATTGAAATGCTGCAATTTAAGTTCCCTTTAATGAATTGTGAATCATTTATTTATTAGCTAAAGTGTTGCTCACAATTTTCTGCATAGTGTACAATATATGCACATCGTGCTGGCAAACATTTTTTAAATGGTGACCGTTTAGCTTATATCATCACATATTTCATTGTAGTTGTGCAAGTTCAGTCAGTTGTGTTATTTTATGATGAACATGTTTTTTCATAAAACAAGTCTTCATTGTATTCTACATCAATCCCATTCCCTAAAAAATTGGTAAATGTGCACCACTCATTAAAATGCTAAAAATTGTGATAGAGCCCTTAATAAAATAGGAATTTTCAGTATATCAGATTGAATCAGTTAATCACCGTTCAGACCTGATCAAGCGGAAATTGATTGATCCTGATTGATGGTTCATTAATTAGTGCAACAGCGATAAAAGTGGTTATGGTAAAAAAAAAAAAAACTAAAACGTTCAGAATTTTTCATTTTTAGTTTCTAAGCTTTACATAAAAATTAAGCATTATTAATGTTTAATAATAACATTGAGAGATATAATAAAAGCCATAAAGACATTTTATTGAGCCATTTTTTTTTTATTTATTTTACTACTGCACCAGAGATGGGGAGCTTAGGCCTGACCTGCTGATTCAGATGTTCAACTAGGGGTGGGTATTGCCAAAGAAGTCACGATTCGATTCGAATCCCGAATCACATGCCACGATGCGATTCTATCTGGATGCATCACGATACTTGAATTATTGCGATGCATTGCGATATTTTCACTGAACACTGTTAGAAAAAAATACAGCCATTACCAGTGGCTGACTGGCTGAGTATGATCTGGGTAGAGTCTTCCAATTGATAAATAACTGAAAGCAACTATATTCATAAATAGCTGTATTTTTGAAATGACTTTTGGAGGTATTGCCATGAAAACAAATATTACTGTAACAATATATCAACTTCATTTTTATCTTTGTTTTTAAAACCAAAATGCTTCCAAACATCGACATCTACTGGACTGGAAGTTGTATTAAACTTGTTTTTGGCTGATGTTCGCCAACCATTCATGCAATTTTATTTATTCATTTTTTTAAATTAATAATCGATACTGTACTTGGCGTCAAGAATCGATGCAGTAGATCATGAAAATTAGAATCACGATGCATCATCATGACGATTATTTTGCACACCCCTATTTTCAACTATTGATATTTTTGTCATTTGTGTATCTTTACACTTAAAAAGCAAAAAAAAAATAAAAAAAGAATTCTTTTAGAGTTAGTGAAAGGTGAGACCCATATATGCTTTTAAGCTAACCTTTATCTCATTTTATCAATTAACTTAAAGGCATGCATTACCCAGGTGTTTCATTAGTTTATAAATTCAAAAGGATGACACTACTGTATTTCATTGAGGGACTAAATAAAAAATGTTATGACTTACTGATCAGAGAAAATCAATCTAAAATTGACCTAATCCATTTCCTATTGCTATAATTGTTAGTATTATTATTAGAGTTACAAGCTGATCACTGGGATATAAGATCAATGATAGTAAAGAATATCTCCAGTCTTTATTCATTTTTATGTCCACTTCAGGAGAACATAAAGCATTATTTGATGCTAAGATGTATAACATTCATGAGACCTTAGTCATCATTCATAGATCAGTTTGTTTATCTCTTCCTGGAACTAAGTGGAAATATATGAGATTTTATTTTCTATGTTTACAATTGTCCCAAAAAAATAGCAATATTTGATTTTCTTGAGGGCTGCATTCCTTTTTTCTCTCTTGATCTACCTCTTTTTCTGCATTTTTGAAACAATTCTTCCCTGCGACCTACTTCTTTTCCTCCAGTTTGCAGACTGCTATTGCTGTATAAGTTTCTCTTTTTCTTTTCCTCTGTAGTTCTCACTCTGTCTTATAGCATAGGGTCCTCCCGTGACAATAAATCAGCTCTTGCAGGATATCCTGAATGAGATTTGGTTCAAAGTGATCATAGAATTTGACATAAAGATGATCTGAGAGGAAACTTCTCTGTCTGTGCGACACTTTCTGTTTTTACTCATAAGAGGCTGTCTTCGTCCCCCTTACAGTATCTTCAGGATGTTCTCAGCAGACAGGAAGCGAGTGGAGACAGCGCTGGAAAATTGCAACCTCCCTTCTGGCAGAGTAAGACGGCTAAATACAGGATTGTTTTTTTACCTTATACACACATTTCCTCTGTCTATGGATCTGCTTCCATCCATGTGTGTGGCTTCGTCTCGTTGGCTCTTTTTCTCCCCTGCTGCTTATCTTCATCTGCAAGCTCCTTAATCTTCTCCACCCATTCATCAGTGTGTCCTCTCACCATTTAGCCCATTATCTACTCCCCTGAAACAGTAACTGATTGCTGCACTGCTCATTTGTTTGGAGTCATACTTTCTGGACGTTTGCATGGCTTCCCACTCATATCTGATTCCTCCTTCGTTCCTCCTTTCAACGCATCCAACACACCCAACAGGAGCAATAAACATGACAAAGGCTGCTTCATTTCTATCTTTTTAACTTCACATGAGAAAAGCTGCTCTGTCATGCAAGCTCACCCACAGCACCATCTTTATGCTCCAAGAGTGGAGAAGAAACCCATTTGCATCCCTGAAAGTGACAGGATGCGGTTTAATGAAGTTTTGAACACCTGCTGAAACAGACGAACACACAGGAGAGCAGACAACAGGGCTGTAATAAACTGCTTCTGAACATAAACAGAAATATTAACACATACTCACACAAACACAGACTGAAAGCTATACATAATTAGCACAATGAAAGAGATCGGGGGGGGTTGCTGTATGCAGGTCTGCTGGGATTTGCTGTTATTCCACAGCACAAGTAATTACAGCTAAACGGTATCGCCGTTAATCCCTCAAACACACACATCCTGACAGGCAGAAGTGCATTCACAACATGGTTCACACCAAGGTCTTTCGAATGACTCAGTAGGTTTCAGCAAGGCTTGACCTGAGTCCCCCTCCCAGTGCATCCTTCCTCGCCTTTCTGTTCTCCCACTCCTTCACCCCCTGGTTCTGCTCTGGTTCCTGCTGCCACATTGCTGCTGCCTGCTGCTAAGAACACTCTGTCTTTATCATATGAGCTAGCTGAGGATCTTTGTCAGGTGGAGATGCTCTTTCAAAAAAGAAAAACATAATGAATGAGTAAGAGATCTGTGTTTCCTGCAGACGCATCAAGGAGTTGGATGCAAGAGTTTTATTTAAACAGTAAAATAAATATCTGGCACAGCCAAACAGCATGACTCATATAGAATATACTCATTAATGTGCGGAGGTGGTGAGCGGGAATGAGGATGATGATCAGCACACAGGATGGGTTCTGCCTCAAAGTTGTTTTTCAATATACGTCTCCAATATATAGACTCCACACAAAAAATACAGTATATACAGTAGCACATGTTAAAAGCTGTTCTCATCCTGACTCAGAACATAAAAGGTTTCCAAGTACCTCCATGTAAACAGGCATTACACAACAGTATTTCATCAGGACTACAAGTTCTCCAGTTTTTGTGTTATATCATGCAACAACAAATATAAAGAACATTTTTTTGGTATCATTTGCGCTGCTCAATTTAAGAAATTATACAGAGAGGTATAGAGAAAGTCGCAGATTCTTTTGGTTTCTCACTCACTCTGAAGTAAAAGTACAGCTACTTTAAATATGGATGTTATAAAACCCACTGTTATGTCGAACCTGGAGCATGATAACGTTTCAGGAGTTTTAAGACTGCTTCTTTCCTTTACTAGTTTGTTACAAATATTTAATTTGGCTTGAAAAACATTATCATGTTTCAGTCAATTTCGCCGTACCTGAATGGATTATATCGACTATGTGTATCTAGGTGTTTTTCACCTAAATATTAGCACATGAGTTGAAACGTGTCCTTTAGTCCCATCATGCTGCAGCAGATCAGGGTTCAACTGAAATCTTGTGGTTACCATTTATATCTATAAAAGCTACCACAGGCATTAAAAAAGTGTGAGTGGCTTGTTTACACAACAAGGAAAAATCATTAGTATTATTGTTTACCTTCTAATAAAAAAAAAATGGATGTGTTTCACTCAAAAATATAATTTTTCTCAACTTTTTGAAAGCTACATTTAAATGTAAAGTAGTGTTTATTCTAAAGTCAAAGATCCTGAATGTAGTTTTTTATGGATTTACAGGCTCTCTGAAGTATTATCCCGACCCCCCTTCTGGATAACCTGTTAAATACATATGCAGTTTGTATTATACTGTTCATCCTGTCCTCTGCAGAATGACTCCATCCCCCAGGAGGATTTTACTCCAGAGGTCTACAGGATGTTTCTGAGTAACATCTGCTCTCGACCAGAGCTGGACAACATCTTCTCTGAAGTGTAAGAGCTGTACTGCTTCCGATTTAGTCGATGACCTCTAATCATACTAAATATATCACATCTATATTTATTCCAGTTGTTTCTGCAACCTTTATTTCTTAATCAAATGTAACACTTTATAATGCTTTAAAAGATTTCCTTGAATGTAGAACTTATAATTTCCTCTCTTTTTATTTCCATCAATGTTTACATGTTTTATTTTAATAAAAATCTTTATTTTCACCCAATTTATATGTACATTGATATATACTTGTGTTTTATTTATTTTATTTCATAAAAGCATATAAAAAGCGTGCCTACCCTGCAACAACTAAAGCCTCACTGTTAAGCTGCCGACCGAACTGCCCCTTAGCCCTCAGTGACTCAGAGAGTGAGATGAGCCAGCATGACAGCACGACTGCTGTCCCAACATGTCATAAATCTTGGTTTTAATTACCACTAAGTGTGAGGGCACAGGAGCCAGGAGGATACATGAAACATAATTTACTTTCACAGTCATAGATATGAAATGCATTTTAATCAAGATATAAGCATCTGTTCCTTTTCTCCTCTGTATGTTTCCTGTGCTGTAATTACAGCTCCTCCCCTCCATGATTTTACTTTGTTCCCTTGCCTCAAAACTCAATTTTTGTGCAAGCAAAGCACTTTACTGGTTTGGTTCATTTCCACAGTGGAGCTAAGAGCCGTCCGTACCTCACGGTGGAGCAGATGACGGAGTTCATCAACAGCAAGCAACGAGACCCTCGCCTGAACGAGATCCTCTACCCTCCGTTGAAACCAGAACAAGTTCAGCTGCTGGTGGACAAATATGAACCCAATATTTTACTTGCACAGAAAGGTCAGAGACGCACATATTTGTCATAAACCCACTGCATGAAATAAAACAAACTGGCATGAGGAAAAGCCATGATTTCTACTTTCTGTAAAATAATTCACTTTGGGACAAATTCATCAAGCATTGCGGTGTCCTCCACTTCATGCAGCTGTTTTGCTTCCACCATTACTTTTATTTTTTGACTAGATTCACAATTACTCTAAATATAGGATAATCAGAGGCATTCATCAAAAAGCATTGGGAATATGGAGCTCTCTCTGCATCAGGTACAATACCAGGTGTCCTCTCTCATGCTGCAAACACAATAGAGTGAAATACACAAAAATCCAAGTGTATATTTGATAAAGGCAGAAATTCAGGTCAGGATCTGATGAGGCAATTAATTTGATGCTTCCCTTATAACGATTATTTAGAGATAAGGAGCATCAAAGGTAAAACTGTTTAACACCATAAAATTACAGTATTAGATTTAGTCTCCACACATTTACTGGACTAATTAATGATTATGTGGGATAAAATAATGAACCTGTGCCTCTTTATGTGAAGGATTAAGTCCCCCCCTCCTCTTTAAGCAGGATGACGATTCCTTTTTGCACTACTGCTCTCTATTACAGTAGGATATTTTTATTAAGAGTTATTTTAACTCCTCTTTAGATAATTTTATTGATATCTGCAGCAAAGTTTCACGAACATTGGATTTTTTGTTTTTTTCAAAATAGACTACAGGAATTGAAACACAATTAATTTCAGTCAAATAATAGGTCTTAATTATTGCTGTTGGTTAGTGAACAGTTTACTCTTCATCACAGATTAACTTTTCCACACACACAAGCATAATATCTTAATTTAAATATGGGCATCAATCAGAGGCACACTTCTCTCTGTTAATCTATTGTTTGAAAAATAATAACAAAGTCCAGTCTATCCCTGATAAACTCCAGAAAATTCTTTGCTAAATATTCCCCACTGACTTAAAGAACTAAAACTTTTCTTATAAAGGTAAGATTATTTACTGTATATCCCCTCTTATATTTAAACCGCACAGATTGGACAAAAGAAAATCCATTTTAATACAACGTTTTAGGAGTTATTATGGTTCCGATGCATCTATCAGCTTCTCTGGTGTTTGTTGTATTTAAGAAGCAGATAAAGAAGTACCAGAACTGCAATTGCTTGACAAAAATTAATAAGCACATGGGCATCATAACTAAATAGATTTAGAAACATTTTCTTACTTATGAATAGTGTTTTTTTTTTTTTTAAGCAAGCAGCTTAGGTGTTAGAATTAAAACATCAGGAGCAGAATGAATCATGAAGGGCTGAGGCAGATGAGGGTAGGGGATCGAACATTCATGGACATGCTGTGCTTTCATGTCCTTTGAGGTGTCAGTGGACCAGTCGCTGCCAGAACTGAAGAACATCCCACCCCAGATATCAGGCAACAAGCTCGGTAGAGTGCCAATTCAAATTTATCTCTGCTGGAAACCATGCTGCACAACTGTTCCAAAACGGGACTTACTTCACATCATGTTTTGTTTATTGTCGAACAAATCATCTTAGTTTTTTTACATACTGTAGATCAAAACATTTTAATGCATGATAAATACTGTATGTAGTTTAATTATGTGCTGGAATTTTTTAGTGTCCGTTTCCCCTGAAGACACAAGAAGCTAATAAGTGAAATTATTTTGTGGATTATGCATCTTGATCTATCTCGCTTGACAGAGCACTTCATTTCATAACCTAAAGATTCTATATTTAGGAAACTTTTTCAATTATAACTGAAAAGCAAACAATTTTATTTTTAGGCCTTTGATGTGTGGTGTTTGCAGTTAAAAATGCTAATCTATCCAGAAGAGGCTGTTTATCTAAAAATCTCTTCACTGTTTCATCATTATGTTAATCTAATGTGCACGTTCTGTTCTGGATTTCACTGAATATAAATGAGCCCTAATTGTCAGAAGCAGAGAATTAGGTGTGATTTTAATAATCTCTTCAAAGTAAAGTACCTACTTTACATTTATTTCAACACAAAAGCTCATGGGTGCTGAGATTATGGAAAATGATTTTTAAACTAGAGTTGCATTTGCAGCTTCGTTGCTCAGAAATTGAATGTGATCACAGTGATCTGCTCCCTCACTGATGCTTTGTGTATGTCCTGTCCCGCACTCTCTGAAATCATGCCCTTCACTTTCCTAGTGACAGATTTACCCTTTTGAAGTATTTATCTAGCCGGAGGAGGTGCTGCCATCTGCCCTGCAGACGGCTCCAGATTTCCCCCTTCATTTGCACTGTAATGGACTCGCCAGAATGGTGTTATCACACTCCAAGGATTTGTTTGGTTACAGCTGTTTATGATATGTACAGTAAAAAAGCATTTTTTTTTTAAAATATATGTTATAAACATTTAGATTTGAAGCTAAAGTAAAGTGTTCCTAATGAAGCATGATGCTGCCATTACCATGTCTGGATGGTGACCATGAGGTTGATGCTTTCAGGCTGCAGCATGAGTACAATTTTAGTTTGCTGACTCACATTACGCATCATTTAGATTAAAAAGTTCGTGTTATTCTCGTTTTATTATCCCACCTGAGATGTGAAGATTGGCATCTGCTGTGCTGTACAGTTAGTATGAGTCCCTAACTCTTTCTCTGGGGGTCGACCATGTCCTGGTAGATTTACAGTGGTGTCATATGCTTTCTATTTTCAGTGCTCTCTTAGATATTAATAGCTTGGAATATTGTTTTACAACCTAACCCTGCCATACTGTACGCATTTTCCCAATTTGATCACTATCTATTGCTGTTGTTTCCCCTGCTCAAAGGATCCACACTTTTCTCATCTTTATTTCTACAGACACTTTGATAGGATGAATATATTTGTAAGGCATTGTATAAAGTTGTGTATTTTTATTGTAGATACTTTATTGTTTTCTCCATTGCCTGTAAAACTGATGATTGAGTTTTTGAACATTACATCCTTCATTCATCTGTTCAGTGCTCTGTCAATGATCTGTGCTTCTATAGTCTGTGTTTGCTCAAGTGCTATGATTAAAATGCTGAATGAAAAGACGCTGGTAGAATATTTTCCATTCATAGAGGATGAATAGCACACCGTTATACAGTATTTTCACCCATTCAAAGGCATGTTTTTAGGTCATTTTACAGTAAGGACATTCTAATAGCAGTATACTTTCCCACCTGGGTGTAGTTTCACTTTTATGTCTCACCTTTAGTACAGTAACCCCTGTAGTGTCTCGCAAAAGATGTGATCCTTGCTATAGCAACATTTTTTTCTTCCCACGTTGTAGCCTACAAATGCCTTGAGAGCTGAGGAAACCCTTTGACTGAGACTGACTGTGTGATGTGCAGGTCAGACCTCAAACTCACGCAGAGACGATCCTGACAGCCGACAGGGGAGTGAGACACAGAGTGCAGCCGAGCTCAGATGTCACGCAACACAACCAGTGTTAATTAGCTCAGCCAGTCTGCAGAGGGCGGTACCGCATTAATTAGCATAAAGTGGCCGGAGGGACCTGCTGCACCCATCAAACTTGCATTACTTAGCATATTTAGGATAACGTTATGGGAGAGTAAGTGTGTAGGTGGAAGTTTTGCTTTGAATTCAGAACTGAATCAGTGCAGGTCTTGTGTCTGGTGTTTGTGGTCACAAAGTCACGGATCACAGTCTTTCTTATGGATGACTAGAGCTCTTTTTTCAGTTTCTCTCTGATTCTCTTTGATGTAGTTTTTTTTACTTCAATGATGGCAAAGAAAGCAGTCTTTCACAGTGACTCAAAGCCAAAAAAAAGAACAGACAGTGGGAGCTTCTCTGTGTCAGATCCTTGTATCATTCATTATTAACTCTAACAGTGTTTGTTTGAGCTTAAAACACTGAAAAATACATTTACACCCTGAACACAGAGGCTATTCCTCACATTTGAGATTATGAGAAACTTTTTATTCATAGCAGTGGTAACGTCCTAAGTTCTTCCTATGGTGTGGGAGGCAATAGGTAGGCAGTCAATGAAATTAGATAAAATTGTTTCTATCTTTCTTCATCTGCAGAACCAGAGTGTGAATAGTGATATCTCACTACAGGTTATTTATCTGATGCAGGTTCCATTCCTTGAAAGCTACCATCCCATATAGATGCATCTCTTGTGGATTAATATACTATTAAATAAATAAATTAGCACTGCTAAATGTCCCATTAAATAATGATATGTACCATTAATTTAATGCATTATTATGTTATTAAATATACCATTAATTATTAACTTAACAATAAAATAATGAAATGTCCCAATACATTATTAAATATACCTTTTAAGTTAATGCATAAAACAATCAAGTAATTTGTGGAAAAATACATTATTTATTTCTCATTATTTCATTCTAGATATTAATTTAATAAAAAAATATTTAATTATTAAATATTCTTGTTGATTAAACACTGACTGAAATAAATATACGTATTTTTAGCTGGTCTACAGCCTCTGGCCCTGTTGTTTTGGGGTTTGCATGCTGAAATGTTTATGAGATATTCAAATGAAAAAGATGCCTGAATGCTTCAAATGTGTCATATTCATGCAGGTCAGATCTCGATGGAGGGCTTTACACGATATCTGAACGGAGAAGAAAACAGCATCATTCCCCCGGAGAAGCTGGACCAGAGTGAAGACATGACCTTTCCACTCTCTCACTACTTCATCAACTCCTCACACAACACATACCTCACAGGTGCGTACACACCGATGGGAGTTGAAAAGTAAGAGGCTCTGTGTAATTGCACAGATGCGTCTTTTATTATTCTACTAACGAGTGGATTAGTCATGCATTAAGAAATAAAATTAAAGTGCTGCGGGCAGGAACGTTCAACTTTATAACTCGCAGGTCACTCAATCAAATCTGATTGTGCATCTCAAGCTTCCTTTCCTGTATTACTTCTGAAGAATTTATCCAATCAAGTCATGGCATGAGACTCATTTCAGTGTCATTCATGAGTTAAATATTTCTGCAGACTGGTAGTCACAGTAACTGCTTCCTGGCATGTGCAACTGAGGGGGTTTGCAATACAGGGGCCATTTTCTCCTCAATGAATATTAGAATTCATCTATTCAAATCTATTCTGAGAGAAAATCGGAGTGCATTGAATCTTTCAAGTGAATCAGACCTCTCCTGCAGTGGAGAAAAAAAAAAGGAATTTCTGGAACGACCCGACCTCATAGGCTGCGAAATGGAGAAATGAGAAAAACAAACAAGAAGTGCTTGGTTTTCTTCTCACTAACTCAGACTCCTTTATTTCTTTTCAAACTGAAACAAGTTTGACTATTCTAAGTGGCAGCAATTAAATACACCATAAAAGGACAGATTGGTGTCCTTAATCATGTGTTTAAAACTAACACAATATTTTTTTTTCAAACATACATTACTGATTGGTGTAGGATGTTAACCAAAAAGCGGGGGAGGGAAAAAACCACAGTCAAAGAAAGCTTATGAAAAGATGTGGAAAATAGTCAGCATAATGAAGAGAGAGGCGCTCGCTCTCACATGGCTCTTTTTAATGTTGCGGGTAAGAAAACTGCTAATGCAAAGTGATAATTGCCTCACTAATGGTGACAAGTTAAAGAGATTTGCCTGCATTAGACACTTTTACTGTTGTTGTTTTTTTTTTTTTACTGCTTTCTAGCAAGTGAATGGATTAATGAACTGTATGTGTGACTGTGTGTGTTGTGCAGCGGGCCAGCTAGCAGGAAACTCCTCAGTTGAGATGTACAAACAGGTCCTCCTGTCTGGGTGCCGCTGCATTGAACTGGACTGCTGGAAAGGACGCACCACAGAAGAAGAACCTGTTATCACTCATGGTTTTACAATGACAACTGAAATCTCCTTTAAGGTAAGATAAAGGGGTAGGCGGAAGAACATGGTTTCTGAAACATGTTTTGCACTTTTGCTTATGAGTATGTTTTTCACTTGGAATATGCACTTCATTAAGGTGAAAATGCCTGCAATCAAAAAGGAAATACTTCCTAAATTTAAAATATAATAAACAGGATATTTTGGCAAAGGTAGTTCCATGAATTTAGATGCACATATGCTGTACTTTTAAATAGTGTTGTACCGATACCAGTATCAGGGAGGACCCCGTTGCTGCACTAAAATTTGAGAGCAAAAAGTTTATTATAACTACTTTATTATAACTATTGTCACCCATTCCAGGTAGGCAATAAAAAGTTCTACCAGACTCACTTTGTATTAGTCTTTTTCCTGCTTCACAAAGGTAGGCAGCAGCTTGACAAAGCCATAAGGGCAATTATTTTACATCCAAGTAGGATGCAGTTCTTCATATATACACACACATCACTTTCAAACAGATGGTATCAGTATGGTATCGGTGTCGGCCGTTTACTGCACAGCCAGGTATCGGGTATCTGGGCCAAAAATGGCATTGGTGCAACACTACTTTTGAATAAAATTTGATCAAGAAAGGGACTCTCCATTTCACTTTATATGTTTCCCATTGACCAAATCCCCATTTCCCACTGAACAAAAATATCGTCCCAGATCATGATTCTGCTTCCATCGTATGTCTGAGGGTATGGTGCGCTTTTGGGGATGTCTATGCTTACCTTGAACTGCAGCACACTATTCTGTTGCATGTACAGCATTCAATTAGGTACATTTTTGTGACTTGAAACCTATTTTGAATTATCAATTTCCAATTTTATATTTTATCAAGCATTTGATTTTTCAAGTAGGTCATTAGGTTGGTTGCAGAATTCCAAGTTTGGTAGCTTAACTTCGGCTTTATTTGATTCATGTTGCGAACCTTTTAACCAATCGTTGTTTCAACTTATAAATAAAAAGTATTTAATGGGCATGCTTGAAAAGAGTAACAGTAACTTAGGACACCCATTTCATCATTCCTGATTCATGGTGCCTTCACAAGAATGAAAGCAATCTTTGCCTTGTGTCCTAAGCTGCAGGATTCATGCTGTTCTGAGAACCCCTACTGCGCTTTCCATTACAGACTCATGTATGTTGATAAACTCTTGACTGAGGCTTTCAGTGACTACTTTCTATGAACTGTAGAAAGGATCAGTCCAGAGCAAATATAAATGAAGAACAAATTAGAATAAAAGATTGTAGGATTTTCATAGCTTAGTGTAAATATGTATGTTTAAGAGCCTACGTTTCTATTTTAGGGATTAGGAATTAGGCTAAATTATCTTTTAACTAATAAACAACAACAGTTGCTAGGTGGTCAAACTAGGAATTTCACAATTCAAGTAAGAATGGAAAATGGAACATTATAATGTTTAGAAACCATTTGGTTAAATAAGGAGCTGAGGTACCTGTAGACAGTTTCAGGTAGCTAGACCTATTTTAGGTCTGGTTACAAGTCACCAGATAGAGAGACAGCAAACTGCGTTTTATTTTGGATCCAAGGTTTTCTGGAAAGATGCATTTTTTTTTTTTTTGCTGGGTGAGCAAGATTGCAAGGTTGTCATTCATGTCCTTTCAAATGCAGCCTGTAGAGAGCTGTGGGAGAAGAGGAAGAATGCTGCTCTGGTCATACTTCTCCACCTGTAGGAAATCACAGGAATCCCAGCCATGAAGAACTACTCCTTTCTAGAAATTTCAATGAAAATTGGTTCTTCTTTGCTCTGGATTAGAGTTTTAACAGTCTAATTCTCTTTTATATGCAGTTAAACTGTAATCCATTTGGCTGGGTTAGATCCCTAACATGAGAAACTTTCTTTACTTTACCCACTCTTAATAAAGTATTGTAATTGTCATTTTTATTTTATAGTCCCAGTGTTTTCTTCAGTGCAAATTCCCTAAGTAGAGCAGTCAAAAGACTGAGCAGACACTAACGATGGACAAGATTCGTTAGACTCGTGTTAACTGTGCATATGAGTGCACATACTATATGGAGGGATTAGAGATGAACAGAAAAATCAACAAAACCTCAAGATTTTCCTTCCCCAAATCACCTCCTCGGATGTTTCACCACGTCTAATTCATCATTTGCAGCTCTTTCTATTAAGTGATATATTTTCTCCATCATTTGATAATTTTATATGAACTGACTTGTTTTATTTTTTGCTTATAAAGCTGTTACCTGAAAGCATATTTACACAGGAGGCAGTAGAGACAATAAACTATTGATAATTTGTTTGTGTGATTATTGAGGGTCGTCCATTTCTAGGTTCTGTAGATTGAGGATGTTTTTCTATTTTTATCCCATTGTGCCACCAGGGAGTAACATTCGTTTTTACTCATTCTGAAAAGCAGGAAGAACTCATTTGTGTTGACGATGTTTCTAAATGAGCATAAATACGGATAAATTCAGTTAAGCTTATAAAGCATTTAATAAACCTGAATCCCTCTAGCAGCAGCTTTCTCTCCCTCCTCCTCCCCTTTATTAAATACAAACTCAGGGCTTTTCTTTGACCATCTGACAGATATACTGTATGCTGTATCAAACTGCAGTCTTAGAAACTCTATACTTCCTCTGGTCTCCCAGCAACAAGTACCATTTTGTCCATGTATGCTGTTCTTTTTTACCCCTAACTCCACTGCTGTAGGGAGTGCAGTGCTTGGCTGCTTACACAAGCAAATAATAAAAAAAAAGAAAATGCATTTTTAAAACTAGAAAACCACTCTGTGATCGCAGATCTCCACCAAGCAGCAAATCTTCCCCCATATTGTAACTTAAACCTATAGCTAAAACTCACACATGATCTGGATTATTGCAAAACTATGAAGTGTTACTTGACACGAGGAATGTCTTTTGTAAAAATGTCATTAAAATCTGTTTATAATTTATGAAGTTATCCTGTACAGACAGAAAAACACACACAAACTCTCCTAAAAATATAATGTTTGTGGAGGCAATTAGGTTAAGACAGTTAAAAAAAAACAATTTGAAACAATGTGAAAGAGATATCCACATTCAAATGTTTTAGGTCGTGAATAATATCTGGTGTTTATGGTAACTGACAATGCATCTCTCACATCAGTGCGGTGGAAAATTAGTCCTCCCCTCTCTGCAAAACTGTTTCAATTCAGCCATAGTGAAGAGTTTGAAGCATTAATGGGCTTTTCAATTTCCTGAAACACAAGCTCAATCAGATTAAAGTCCAGACTTTGGCTATGCTACTCCAAAACCTTACTCAGGTAATAAATACAAATAGTAAAAAAAGGCTTTATGATCTGAAACATTTCGCTGTGTCTATAACGGAACTGGGGTCTGATCTATAAGGGAGAGAATACTTTTTTACATAATGTGGTATATATATATGTGCACAATACTCATAATAATAACTCAGAATCATAATCTCTTTAACAGCCTCACGTTTTTTTCTGTTAAAAAAGTGATGTTCTCCATATTAATAATAATAATCCAAAATTAATATGACACATTTTGTGTTGTGTCTGTCCATATATTTAGGAAGGGTACCAGAAAGAATAGATTGGTCCAGGGAGTTAGTAAAAATGCATTTTGTTTTGTAATATCCACTTCTTCAAATCCCTTATTCTTATTTTTGGATCTTGTACAGCAAAAATTACTTTGTAGAAACAATAAATTAACCCCACAAAAAACACCTATATAACCAAACATAATTACTGTTTATGATTAGAATTCTGTTTTGTGGTTTTATAAAGAGAGGAATAAATTATTGACAGTATGAGCAAATGTTGTTTAGGTTAAAGTAATAGTACACCCAAAACATGATTAGCCTTCATTTTCTACTCACCCCCATGCTGAACAACACTCTGGAGTACTTTTTTGATATCTCAAATGCATTTGGAGATCTGGGAGGCTTCTTGCTGTCTGCTGACATTCAAATAATGGAGGTCTATGGTGCCCGAGACAGAAAGGTCCATAAAAGTCCACAAAAAAACGTTTCAATATTCCTCCATACTGGTCGTCCAATGGATTCCAAGTGTCCTGAGTGGGTAGCATCCATAACTTACTTGAAACGAAGTCATTTAGAATGTTTTTAGAGCATAAACAGTAGTGTATAGGATTTCCTGAAAGCGCGCTTCATGATGCTACGGAAGCCGGCAGACCAAACCAGATGAAAGTGCGCATTCAGCGTCTGCTCTGCCGATAATGCAAGCGTAGAAGAAGAAATGTTTTGTTTACCTGTGAAAAGAAAGAAACAACGAAAGAAAAATGTCTGAGGACTTCAGTGTTGAGGAAGAGCATGAGTTCTTTGCCGAGCTGAATGCGCACTTTCATCTGGTTTGGTCTGCCGCGGTTTCCGTAGCGGCATGAACTCGCCGGCGCGCGCTTTCAGGAAATCCTATACACTACTGTTTATGCTCCAAAAACATTCTAAATGACTTCGTTTCGAGTAAATTCTGGATGCTACCCACTCAGGACACTTGGAATACATTGGACGAGCAGTATGGAGGAATATTGACACGTTTTTTGTGGACTTTTATGGACCTTTCTGTCTCGGGCACCATAGACCTCCATTATTTGAATGTCAGCAGACAGCAAGAAGCCTCCCAGATCTCCAGATGCATTTGAGATATCAAAAAAGTACTCCAGAGTGTTGTTCAGCATGGAGGTGAGTAGAAAATGAAGGCTAATCATGTTTTGGGTGTACTATTCCTTTAAGATAAGACACAGAAAGGCAGGGTTGGATGAAAACCAAGAAGCAAAGAAACTGGGACAAGCATCCTGCAAACTTCATGAGAGGCAGATGCACTGAATCGTCCCAAGGACAAAAGCTGAGGGGCGATTAATTGATGTCTCCAGAGGGGAAGAGGACAATAAGAAAAGCTGATTTTATAGAAGACAGGGTTAAAAACTTAAAAGAAGAGTAGATGTCAAGAGGAAGGAAAAATAAATGAGTGAACTGATTGATAGAGGAAACTCTAATCTAATGAGACGAAAAGAAGAAGCCTAATGGATTTAGGGTGAAATGTTAAAAATGGAGAGCTACAGATAACGAGATTGTTAATTTAATAAGAGAAAGTTTGCAGATTGAAATAGGCAATACTTTAATTGACACTGTCGCTAACAGTGGTCTAATTCATATTGAAGATTGGTGGTTCAGACAGTTGATCTCAAACTGTTTCCTCTGAGTTTGACACCATTCTAAGACATAACACATTATTTCACTTGTTCAATTCAAAATAGTGATTTCATTGTTGTTTTTTTTATGTATCTGTGTTTGTTCTTTAAGCTTGTCTCCACTCTGTAAAGTATTTTTTGTGTTCTTTCTCAGGAAGTGATCGAGGCTATTGCAGAGTGTGCCTTCAAGACTTCACCATTCCCTGTCATCCTGTCCTTCGAAAACCATGTGGACTCGTAAGTTGACAATATGTCTCAAGTTGGAAGCTACCATTTTTGACCTTTTTGATGAGCACAAAGCATTCGTCAGCTGTCACTTACTGGGCTGAGGGGAAGATCTTGATAGGTGGTTCTATCTTTAATAGCTCCAGGGGGATTTCAGGGGAGGAACATACATATTCAGCATATTGACATTTAGCAAAGAAATCATGATTGTCTGTCTGTGCTTGTGTGTTTGTGTGTAACTCCCAGACCAAAGCAGCAGGCGAAGATGGCAGAGTACTGCCGGTCAATATTTGGAGACGCATTACTGATGGAACCACTGGAGAAATATCCTGTGAGTACAAAGGGAGCTTGAACACACTCTACATGTGCACGGGCTCACTCAGACATTCACACTTTTAGCAGCTCTGTCTCTTTTTTAACACGCAGCTTGATACATAAAACATGCTTGAAGTGAAGTGGTCAAAAGGTATTAACCCACAATGAGTGCACTCAGGAGCCAAAGGAGTCTCTGCCTGTCGGCTTAGGAGATTACATAGTTTTAACAGAAAAAAAATGTAAGAAAAAATAGTGTGAACAGTATTATATATAGGTTATAATTTTTTTCTCCAAACGTAACCTCTTAACATTCACCTTATTTAAAGTAATCCCCTCCTATTTTGCATAACAAAATGAAAAAGCAAATAACCGAGAAACTGTAGGATTATTAATTTTAAATCACTGTGATTTTGGTATTAATCAAAATGATTCTATTTAGTTTAATAATCAAAGGTGAGGAATCCCCTTCCATTGTTTTGTTTTCCAATCTGTAATTACTATGCATAAGAATAACCCAGCAAAAGTTAAGATTTCTCTGCAAGCACTGAAAATTGCAGTTTGCAGACGCTCTCTATCCAACACCCAATCCATTTAAATTCCACCTTAAAATTGCTGGTTAATCTCATAAAATACCAATAAAGTCATATAAAAGTTGTGGTTATGATAAATGTGAATCAGCATAAGTGGTTTTGCCAGACATTGTTACATAGTGGCACAAGTGTGCGAACCTGCAGCATCAGCATTACTGTGAAGATAGCTGAAGCAACAGGTGTTCTGTTTTATTTACATCCAGACTAACCTGTTTGAAAAGATATACAGAAATTACAGCAAAATCTCATTCCCTCTGTAGAACATCTGTCTCCTTCACTCACTTACATCAGCGACTGATTACGTGCAACAGGAGCCAACTTCGGATGAATCATTACAGAATCCTTCCTTTTTTGTCTGCGTCACCTCTGGACTATCAGTGAGACTGAAAATGACAGCCATTTAAGATTAAACGAAAGTGTTTTATGCTGTAATCACAACATGGCTTTTCTTGGCAGCCCTTTATCAGTCTTTCCTCTGTTGCCATGGCTACTAGAAAAAACCTTGCATTGTCCCTTTGTGGCCGAACGCTCAGCCTCCCCTCCTAGTACCCCCCTCCACCAAAAAAGGCGTCTTTGTTGTGTGTGATGACGCAGGCACCCCATGTGAGGTAAATATAGACATTTGCCGCACAAACTCTCCCATGCACAGTCTCTCTGCAAACTTGAAAGCAAACACACTCATCTCCTCTGCACATACAGCACACACACTTTAGGAGTTACTCGTCTTGCAGCTTCAGCAGGGGGAAATTGATGTCCCTGTTGGTAGAACACCATAGAGGAGTGAAAGTTCCCACCACTCTGAGGCAGCATTATCTCACAGGCGCAGGAAGTTCCACCAGTCCTGCTGCCTGCCAAAGACCCATCCCTCTGAGAATTACAGCCCTCCGACTGGATTTGACATTGAAGTATTATCAGGGAGAAGCCTTGTGAATAGAGTGGCATGAGGGAAATGGAGGGGAGGGAAAAGATGAGAGGCACACCAAGGGAGGAGCTGGAGAAACAGAGAGAGAACGTACCTTTGAAGAAATAGATTTTTACCACTGAGCTTGTAATGACTGGGAAAGGTGAGAGCAATGACAACCACTCCCCTCTGGCAGCCATGTATACAGCATAGCGAATGGAATATCAGCTCCATGAATCCGTAGGCGCTCTGTCAGATAGAGTAATATAGCTAGATTGGTTCCAGCTCAACCAAGAGTGAGGATAAAGAGGATTAAGGTTTTCATAGAACTGAAGATCCCCCTTCATCTACTTTTCACAATTTTTATTTTTTATTTTTTTACAACTTTTATAGGCGAATAGGTCGTTTACCTTAGACAATGAACGCACAATCACCCACAAAAAAATTAATTATGTACCTTAAGGTAAAATCCATATTTAAAAGAATACAGGCGTTGCTTTTAATCTTTTTGACTCGGATAAATAGTTCTCATAAATAATCAGCTTAAAACAGCATGCGTGATAAAGATAAAGATAAAGAAACAGTTGTTCTGAGTTTGTAGAAAACACCTCCAACACGCAATCTTTGTAGCATTCTAAAAAGATATATGGATCTTATGACGTTTCTCCGACTGATCCACTCCTGAGCTAACTGCTGAAAATGGCTCCGTCTATAATGGTATAGTATAAAATCTTTTTTCCCCAGCCAGTTTTCAGTGCTTTTATCTTTATGTTTGGTGTCACTGTGATGTTGAATAACCCATGACCTGTAAGTGAATCTGATCCTTCTGACACTATGTGATATATTTCGTTCCCAGATCCCAGGATTTGTTTTTGTGTTTTGGACGATGTGGCCTCAGTGGAAGGTACATGTAGAGGTCACATCAATAAAAACACACAAAAAAAATTGCTATATGCATGACACTAAATATAAAACCTCATACTGATGAATCTAGTAATAATGCACTTTTCAATAAGTAGGTGCTCCCTTCTGGGGCTTCTTCTATTAAGCCTTTTATGGTTTGTTTGGTGTGATAAAATAAGTGATGTATCCTAACCTTGAAGTTCATCTGGATTGGACAGCTTCTGTAGGTCTTTTTCTATCATCTGCACTATCCATCTAATCATACTGGGTTGCATTTCTTCTTGTGGGCACTCTAGTTGATTAGCTAAAGTCCCATGAACCTTATACTTTTAAACTAAATTTGGAACTATGGCCATAAGAACATAAAGCTACTTGGAGGTAGTCTTGTACTCTTTATTAGTGTTTACACTCTCCTTTTCAAGCTGATAGGACAGCTTCCTCTGGCCCTTAGTGAAGTGCATAGATAGTTTGATCCCTTAATCTTCACCGCAATCAACTTTTTTTGCAGATAAATGGTATAGATCCAGGCTCGAGCAAATTGTTTTTATATTACGGTCTAATTTTGACATTTTTATGCACATGTGTTTTGTTTCTGCATTATTTGGTCTAAAATTATATTAAACTGTACCTCTATGGGTTGAAAAATTGCAACAGTAGTTTAATTTTACTAGTGGGTGAAACTAGGGATGCACGATCTTGCCTTTTTTGCCGATTCCTATATCCCGATATTCCGAACACTGAAGTTCAGATTTCCGATATAAGCCGATACCTATACAACAATACTTGTACTTGAAGAAATGGCGCATGTCAGCAAAACTGGGAAGTAGGAGTGATGTAATCTCCAAGGCAAGTGTTTTTTTTTTCTTCCCTTGTGGACGCTCATATTCTCTATTGTTCATACAAGGCAACTATGTTCATTTTTACCACCATTATGAAAATGAAAACAGCACTGATCAGCATGATATTCCAACTTCCAAGCACAAACTAAATGCACTGCAAAGCAATCTTATTCAATTACCGTACATTCCACGGTGGTGAGTCAGGGGCTGGAATTGTGAACATAGCGAACATTGATCAATAGTGCTTTTCAGGTAAACATTCAGACTCATTAGTCTGCATAACATTTTATTTTAGCCACTAAGATCCTATCAGATGCTCTTTCACTTTCCCTTGTCCTGACCACACCTCTGCTTATCCCCTTTGCTCCTCCATACCCTAAGTTATGTCTCGGCTCTTCCTACCTTGGTTCCTTTTTGTAATTCATCCATCCATTCATCACAGTGGGCTCATGCCTACAGTATCTCCAGCAGGCTATAGACAAAAGGAGGGGTAAAACCGGACAGGTTATCAGTCCTTCACAGGGCTATAGATAATCATACAATCATGCACACACTCACCTAAAGCCAATTGAAAGTCACCTGTCAACCTTACAGCCATATTTTTGGGCGGTAGCAGAAAGCCACACATGCACAGGGATATAGATAGATTCCTTCATTTAACCAGGTAAAAGAAAACTCATTGAGATTGAAATACTCTTTTCAAAGAGTGACCTGGCCAAGGCACCAACTTAATGGTTACAGGGTTTCCAAAAAAAATAAGAAAAATACAAAAAAATATATATCACTCAAAGCACAATTTTCAGTTTGCAATATGCATTCACAACATCCAAATATGCTATTTAGTATTTCATTTATAAAAGATTTGAATTCCCACACTGGGAACTTCCTGCATGCAAATTCTATGCAGAAAGACCCTCGGTCTGGATTTGAACTAAGACCCTGTGCCTAAGGACTAAGGACCAGTGCAGCCTACAGACTATCATTTCTACAACAAACAACAAATACTTTTTTTTATAAATTTGTAATAAGTTCACATACAACATACAAGGCTTGTAGATTGTTTTTAACAGAAGCAATTTTCAGGAGTGATTAAACTGTAAGAGCTCCAACAACCTAATAAAGGTCTATATATCTATTGTTATTTATCTTTTATCCTAAAGCCATAACCAGTCTGTTAAGCTATAAAAATCAGAATTAATTTTGAAAAGATGCAAATTTGATAGCCCTAATGTTTTTAGTGGTGGCTCATTAAGTCCCATTCATCGTGCTCATCAAGGTTGAGTACTCCAAATATTTTCATTGTGTCAACGGAAAAATATACCAACATGTTTTTGAAAAGGAAAATGTTTGTCTTGTAGTTCCTTTTAATCCTGTTGAGGATTTGACTGAACATGCCGACAGACCAGAATTGGCAAGCAGAGATGCACTCAAGCATAAAGCGGACGGACTGAGAATAGTACATGGAAGCCAATGTAGACAGCAGCCTGGAAAGCAATGTTCCACCCACTGAAGATGGAATTGATGCAGCTTCAAGCTAAAATGTCAGCACTCCATCACTGTCTGTGGTCTTTCTGGCCAGATAATATATCACGTTGCTTTTGATTTAATTATTTGTATCCCTACAGAGATAAACATTTTGAAGGTATAAATGGACATCACTTTTATGAAAAAGCTCAGTAGAAATTTGTTTATCAGTGGAAAGGTTATGTCATAAAAAATGGAACAAGTCAAACTACGGGTGCACATTATAAAAGGCGAATATTATTTAAAGTTTTTTTTTTCAGTGACCTAATACAAAAAGTAAACTATGGGGCATGCTTCGGTGGAGCATGTCATGTGCGCATGACACCTGTACGGAGGCCATAGTCCTCGCCATGGCCAATCTGGGTTTGAATCCGACCTGTCGTCCTTTGCCACATGTCTCTCCCCCTCAATTATAACCCCTCTACTGTCAGCCCACTGTACAAAAAAAACATGTCCCTAGTTCCATAAAAACCTCCAAAAAAATTAAAAGTACATAAAAAAGTAAACCATGTATATAACAGATCAATTTCACACAAAGCGATTTAAAGGAATAGTACACCCAAAACATGATTAGCCTTCATTTTCTACTCACCCCCATGCTGAACAACACTCTGGAGTACTTTTTTGATATCTCAAATGCATCTGGAGATCTGGGAGGCTTCTTGCTGTCTGCTGACATTCAAATAATGGAGGTCTATGGTGCCCAAGACAGAAAGGTCCATAAAAGTCCACAAAAAACGTGTCAATATTCCTCCATACTGCTCGTCCAATGTATTCCAAGTGTCCTGAGTGGGTAGCATCCAGAATTTACTCGAAACAAAGTCATTTAGAATGTTTTTAGAGCATGAACAGTAGTGTATAGGATTTCCTGAAAGCGCGCACATGCGAGCTCACGACGCTACGGAAACCGCGGCAGACCAAACCAGATGAAAGTGCGCATTCAGCTCGGCAAAGAACTCATGCTCTTCCTCAACACTGAAGTCCTCAGACATTTTTCTTTCGTTGTTTCTTTCTTTGCACCGGTAAACAGCACATTTCTTCTTCTACGCCTGCATTATCGGCAGAGCAGACGCTGAATGCGCACTTTCATCTGGTTTGGTCTGCCGGCTTCCGTAGCGTCGTGAACGCGCAGGCGCGCGCTTTCAGGAAATCCTATACACTACTGTTTATGCTCTAAAAACATTGTAAATGACTTCGTTTCGAGTAAATTCTGGATGCTACCCACTCAGGACACTTGGAATACATTGGACGAGCAGTATGGAGGAATATTGACACGTTTTTTGTGGACTTTTATGGACCTTTCTGCCTCGGGCACCATAGACCTCCATTATTTGAATGTCAGCAGACAGCAAGAAGCCTCCCAGATCTCCAGATGCATTTGAGATATCAAAAAAGTACTCCAGAGTGTTGTTCAGCATGGGGGTGGGTAGAAAATGAAGGCTAATCATGTTTTGGGTGTACTATTCCTTTAATACAAACATTTATGTTTGCTCATTTGGATGATACAGTTTTTTAAATACTCAAAAAATCTTTAAAAATCTGAATACAAGGAAAACATACGGCTTGCTTTTAATAAGAAATATGTTATAACTTCCAAAATTAAGAGCAATACAGCTAACTTGACCGTTGTCCGGCACACAGCCTCCACCAAGTGGGTAAGCCTTTAAAAGTCATTGCTTAATGTTAAGCTCAGAAGAGTAGGATCCAATGTTCAAACAGATTTCTCGAACCGTTTATTAAAAATCAGAGTGAGCGGCGTCCATGTCTAAAGCAGGAACCTCTGCAAGAAGAGACAGCAGGTTAGTGACCACGTCTTTCTGGACGTGGATGATAATAAACGACTGAGTCACCAACCTGGTCTTATAGTTCAGTCCAAATCCAATAAGGTCGCCGTACAGAGAGTCAGATGTTGATTCATCAGTCGTTAGAGGACAGGCAGGAGATTGGAACTGAGCAGACGAATGTATGCAGGATAAACTGGAGGGCGAATTCAAAGCTTATGTAGGTGCCTAGAGAGAATCCAGAGCGGAGTCGGGTTCCAGGAATGGTTCACAAACAGGCAGAGATCTGGCAGGAGTCAGAAGACAGGTAAGGCAAACAGATAAGATGGGACCAGGCAGGCTCAGAGGTCGGGAGACGGAATGGGTCAGGATCAGGTAATCAGAACTCAGGAACGCTAGAATAAGTCTAGACAATGGCTAGAAATATTCTGGCACTGATGACTGGTCTGAAGGCTGGTTAAATAGAGCCGCTGGATCAGATAAGCAGGTAATGAGAACTGGGCACAGCTAAACAGGTGTGTGAAATGAGTAATCAGACCTGGCATCAGTGCCCAGATGATAATACTTAATGAGCTGGGTGATCACATAGTGCTGTAATGTTGAGTTGAGGTCAAACGGGGTGAAGAAAGGCCTTAAAGCTTCAGGGACAATCATTGTCTGGAGAATTATTTAGCAAATCCATTTCAAAAATATAAAGGAGATTGCATAGACTGCAGTTGGTCACAAAAAACAGACTGTTGCAACTTGGTTTAGGCCACAACTGTCTTAGACATATCAAAAAGCTCTTAACTGGAACAAGCAATAAAGTGACTGGTCTATGCTCCTAAATTTTTTTTCTCAATATTTTTCTTCAGCCTAATCAGAATAAAAAACATAGATTTGGAGGAAGTGCAATGAGGTAAAGAACCCACGTTGCTCGATGGTCCGGTGAGACATTTCCACAGTCAGTAATGATTTGGGGTGTCATGTAATCTCCTTGTCTGCCATCTCACCCACCCCTTTCATTCTACAACTTCAAAGCTATTTCAGCCGTCTACCTGGAAATGTTCAAGTAGCCTAAGGCTTCTTTCCCTTCATAAGCGTCATGGGGATGCTGATGTAATTTTCCAGCAGGGCCCTGGCATCCTAACCTGGCAGTAGCCAGATTGATATGTGGTGGTGGGTAGTAATTAGTTACATTTACTCCGTTATTTTCACTTGAGTAATATTCTTGTAAAGTATCGCTACTCCTGCTTGAGTAAAATCTCTGACTACTTTGTCTTCTGTGAGCAATTAGAACTATTCCAAAATCAGCTAAACATACAGTAAACAGTAACAGTGGAAGTTTGTTACCCTGTAAAAAGATATATACAGTTCTCATTGTAAGGACTGGTGTTGTAATGATAAATGTAATGAATATAAAAAAACATTTGTGCAGAAGAAATATTTTTATTTGTATTCTTTATGCATACAGTAAAAGATGTTTGCCAGTATGATTTATAAACATTAAATCTGATGGTATTATCCAACAGTTACTCAGTACTCAAGTAGCCTTTCTACCAGTTACTTTTTTACTTTTACTGAAGTCATTTCTTGGATGACAACTTTTTACTTTTACTTCAGTAAAAGAATGATAGAGTCCAGGGAACACTATGAAGGCCTGGAGGGAAGTATGTGGATCAAATATTAGGTTTGTGTGGCTGTTTTTCTCTCAGAGAAGCTGCTGTTAGGTTATGACATTGGAGGATGGACAGGCAGGTGAGTAAGAACTAATGGCTGGATATCAGGAGAGTGGTTGACAGAGGAGTGGATGGAGGATCCATGAGAGGAGCGGAGGAAGGAGCTATTAGAGGAATATTTTAAGAAGTGGGCTTATCAGTCAGTGGTGACTGGAGTAGGACTCAAAAAGAAGAATCCTAGAAGGAGGCAAACACAGGTTGAACTCTGGAAAGATCATACGGGGAAGTTGGCCTGATTATTATCACAGAAATGAGGATTATCTGGCATGCTTCTCACAGAGATTTCTCCCTTTTTTGCATCTCCTGAGGAGAGCTGATGAGCTGCAGCTGTAGGACATTATCCGCTACCGAGTAGAGATAAGATGAAAGGAAAAAAAAACACAAATAAGGAAAACCAGCCCTCTGCCTCCGTGAATGTTACAGTTTAATTATTTAAATCAGTTTGTGTAAATACCATCTATATTGTATGTAAGCGTAGTAGATCATATCTGTTCAAAAAAAGATGGATTCCACTTTTACGCTCAGAGAAACAGCAGCCAGATGAAACAACAGAAAGCTGCATCAACAAATACAGGTGCCTATATATTTTAAAATAAAATATTTCTATCTCATCCTGTACAGGGAAAAAAAGATTTTTTTAGGTATTGTGCTCACCTTAAGTCGTTTTGCTATGACACCTAAAAACTAGAAAGCGACTGTCCCTGAAGAAATGTGGCATATATAGCATGAGGGGGAAATTAGATATAAGCAGTCCAGTAAATCCCAATCTCAACAGTTTAAGGATTTGAATGTAAAAGCTGAGTTGGATACAGCCAAGCTGGGCCAAATAAAATTATCTTTTTTTTCAAAGCATATGTGGGGAGTCAAGATTTTATCCCTTTCTGAGTGTTTTAATTGGAACCATTTAACGTCAATGCTAACAGGATGCCTAATCTTTTTGGTATCACTTCCCATCAACAACAGCAGAGAGGTGTAGAGTGTATGTCTGCTGGTGATAGAAAGTATGTTATTAGGCCGTTAAATCTTGTCTTAATCTGCTGCGTGAATCACCAAACTATGTAAACAAACAGAAAGGCTGAGGAAACTAGAACATATTCATAGCTGTTAAGTTGTTAACACTGCAGCCTTGCGTGTAGATGTGTACTCAATACTGCAAACTTTTTTTTCTTTTTAAGGAATGAATTATTGATATAGCTAAACACAGTGATCCTAAAGCAGTACACCACATTAATAATTTAATTTTGCAGACTTCAGAATTGCTCTCTTGTATGGGTGTTAGCTTGGGTTTAATGCTCAGTTTCCTCCCAAGTGGCTGATTGAGGTGTTGATCACTAATGATTAATGCAGCTATTCAGGTTCTCCAGGATTTTTTTTTTTATCTTACAGAAATTCACAGTTAAAATAACCTAAAATAAGACTAAGAATCATTTTCACCTCTAAGTAGGTCCAAAGACCTTATAGATCCCTTCACAGTTCTTATATGTCTCTCCATTTCTGCCCTCCTTGAAGCTTGAGGCTGGAGTTCCACTTCCCAGCCCCATGGAGCTGATGGGGAAGATCCTGGTGAAAAACAAGAAGAAACATCATAAAACTGACGGCAGCACCAAGAAGAAGCTCTCTGAGCAGGTTTCCAACACCTATAGTGATTCTTCCAGCGTATGTGAGCCATCCTCCCCTAGTGCAGGTATGGCACCCATGATATCGCGCAACAGATTAAAAAAAGAATAATACACCAAGGTATTATTGTGACCTATGTTTTATGATGTAAATTGTAACTATCTGGCTCCATTTGTGCTGTGGACCAAAACTTCTCTACTGCCCAGAGACTGAAGCAGCAGAGCAAAACTCTGCTATTGTTCAGCAGTTTGTCATTTTCATGGCCCTTTCCATCAGCCCACGATATTACTGGCTGCTGCACATACCTTCTGGGGCTCCTTAAACACTAGCCAGCGGTAGCCGTCAACCTGTCTTCTTTGTACGTGTGAGCGCACATGCATGCCGCTGTGTGTACATGATGTTAGAAATGCATCACAGCTGCTCCCTGGGAAGAGTTTTCTCAGATCTGTTAATCACCACATTGGAGTCTGTGGCACATTACATTTTACTTTCTAATATTTGTGTTTGTGCATACAAGCTTTACTGTTCATTTATGTTTTCATTTTGCATCCCTATCTTTATTTGTGTAGTTATACAACTGGATATCAAGCAGATATTCTCTGGAATTCAGGTTACTGTATTTCTTGCACACACTGCCGCCCTGTGGTAATAAATGAATACTACAATCAGGAACCTTTATAAGCATGCAGTGGCAATAATCAGGCCAATACCTACAGATACCATTACATACCGGTAATTTATTTATTTTTTCATTCATGGGTAGTGAGATCTAATTAAGGAAATAAATGAATTTTCAATATTTTAGTTTAACTCAGAACATCAACGTGCAAAATTCTAACCAAGTTTATTTGTTTGTTTTCTTTCTCCAAGGTTCAACTAAAGATGAGATGGCTGATTCCTCACAACCGTCTGATGGTGCTGAGCTCAACCTGAGACCACATGGCAGAAAGTCTATTGGTGAGTGATGACCTCAGCCTAAAATCTTTTGTGTGGTCCTCATTAAGCTGGAAGTATAGGTCAGTTTGACCGTTATCTTCGACATGATTTCCTGTCTTAGTCTGAGAACAGATTTAGAAGGAGATCCTGAGTCACCTCCTAATTATGCATGCAAAGGAGCTGGGTGAGTTTCTGCTAAGCAATATTAAAATAAATATTAGCTGTCACTCAGCTCCGCCAGTTTATTCTTGTTAATGGGAGGCTTGTGTTGCAATTTCGAACATAATGGATGGAAGTTATAACTAGATAAAGCTATTAAAAAGGTTGCCTGTATTGAAATAAATTATTAAGATAGTTAATGTCAGCAATAAAATCTTTCAAAATGTATTAATGTGTTCCTAATGTTTTAGGTGAGGTGGAGGCTGAAAGCGATGATGATGATGACGATGATGATGACTGTAAAAAGGGCTCAATGGATGAGGTATGTGTAGAGTAGGTGGCATCAATTAAAATGCTTTTGAAATATATTCATATCTTAGGTTATGTTTTTGTAAATTATTGTTTTTATACATCACATTTTTCTTATTTTATATTTTTTGTTTTATTTTGATTGACAGGGCGATCCGAAGTAGTGCCTCACTAAGTGGTGGAGGGAGAATGATTTATGTCTTTTTTATATGTATTTTAGGCTTTACAGGTAGAAACTTCAAATTGTGGTTGCTAGTTTTTATAAGCCTTACTGTAATCAGTTTAAGGGTTGATTTATCATCTCTAAACCTCTTTGAAATAAAACTTCTGCTAATTCTTCTTAGCGAAATAGTTTAAGTTTTATCTAATTAGATGTATGCCACAAACATACCTTAGTTAATATTACCTATTTATTTACTTAGCATCCATTTAGGCTCTGTGTCAGCATTATATTTGCTGACACGTGTTTAATGCAGCACAGAAATGCTTAAGAGGTTAATGTGGTAAATTATTTAATTGCCAAAACAGTATATGTTGGCTGGAAGCAACTTTTCCATAAAATCTTGTTACTGCGATGTTTGCAATAATTAAGTACTGCAAAAAATGCACTACTTAATTAAGCAAGGAATAATTTTTTTCATGATTATTTTTTTTATTGCCTACCCTATTTGCCTATGGGGCTCTTTTAAAAGTTGTTTTGATGCAATTCTTAAAACTCATTGCATGTGTTTCTAAAATGAGAAGTTTAAGAGGCCTTAATCTTAAAAATCAAAAATATATGTATATATATCTTATTTCTTATTCTGGACTTTCAAACAAGCCGTTGGGCTCTATACTTTAGTTATGGGATGTCTGCAGGTTTTCTTTGAACTGGTTTTATTTGAAGTTACCAAAAAAAATTTGAAAATGTGTGAATACAAATGGATGCTGCACTTTTCAGATTTTCTAACAACTTCTGCAATCATTTCTATCTGGCAGTGATACAAAAATCATAAAAAATCTCAAGAATACTAACTGAGGTCTTAATTTGTGATGTGAGGAATCATTGGATGATTCAGGGAGGTTGAATTCTTCCAAAAAAAAAAAAACTGAATCAGTGGTTTTAGTTTTGATTATAATCTGATTTGCTTTTTGTTTTTCATTTTCAAAGCTCTCCTCAAATGTTTTATGATTGTTATTCTTTTTTCTTCACTGTCTTGAACAATAAGACTGTAACAACTGATATCAGTTTCTTATATTACCATTAGTCATTCTCAGAATTCAAACAGAAAATTGAAAAATAAATGAATTATTCCAAAGTCAAACAAACCGTGGACATATTACCAAAAGAAAAGCAAATAAAGGGACAAATCCAAAGCAGAGAGCTGATACATTTCAGCCCAAAGGGAGCCTTTCTTCTTCCACAGATGCTTTGTTGAAGGTTAATGCAGTGTGCAACCATCAGTATCAGTCTTTACTGCGCTGGACTTGAAACCTATCTGAGTAATTTTCTGCTAACAGCTTTAGTGGCTTCATAGAGGCCTTTAAACCAGAACGTTTCTTTAAGCTACCAGCTTGGTTGCTCCGCTGTCAAGACAGACATAAAGATCTGCAGCAATACCTTCATCTGCATAAGGCTGGATAATAAGAGATAGGTTTCATTTTAGCTTTGATCTGCTGCACAGGTCAACATGGGATTGCTGTATCTATTGATGCCTTATTGTTTTGCTGTTTATTGACTGTCGTCTTAAGTTTTTTAATAAGTGTCTCAGGTTTGCTTTCATATAAACTCTTATCTCTATCAAACAGTGAAAATCAAGGTGATTGTTTTGTGATCTTTGAGTTGTATTATAATGTAGCAAATAAAGGATAAAGCAAGGAGAGAACAGAAAACGGTCTTTGTTCCTCATAATGCTTTCTACGCTGTCTTTATGAAAATATGATGGCCAAGGATTACGGACAAACAAATAGCTTGTTCAGATACCAAAAACAGAAAACATCATTACGTTTTTGTTGAACTGCTGGTTTGCTGTCTATTAAAAAGTTTTAGTATTTTTGTTTTTTTTCTGAGCCTCCCAACAAAATAATGATTATGACCATATTCTGCTTTTGGTTTGACTAAGGCAGTGTTGCTCTCATTCAACTCCTAACTCCATGCATAATATATGTCTTATATACTACATATCAGCTTAAGAATCCCACATATCTGCTTCCAAAAAGTATTGTAAGTTGGAGAATATGTATTATTATCAGAGCATAACTCATGTTACACTATGCAGTTTCTCAGTCTGTACTGATGAAGATTGAGTCACGTTGCCAGACTGACTGCATAAAGTTGCAGCCAGACATACTTTCTTAACAGTTTATTTAATAGGCATTCAATTTCATGAGAGAACTCAAAACATTGAATATACATATTTACATACATGTTTAACTCATTTTTCTCATACTGATGCAGTTTAATATTGTGAGTTTGAAAAAAAACCTTCACCTCAGTAGGCCCTGCAAAAAAGCAGCAAAGCATCCCTGTCAGCGATTCACAAAGTACATTACATTTCCCTATGTTTATACTGATGTAGCTTGCCTTTTTCAAAATCAAGGCAAGATCAACAATAGTGCCTCTTATATCAATTGTGTCTGTTTATGTGCAGGGCACAGCAGGCAGTGAGGCATTCGCTACAGAGGAAATGTCAAACCTGGTGCTCTACATCCAGCCGGTCAAGTTTTACTGCTTCGAGACATCTAAAAGTAAGTAGGATCAGTTACATTTTTTACAAGTTCAAGAGTAAATGTAAATCCCCAGCCTTGATTTAAATATATACTGAAGCATACGAAAGGTATTATCTTCACTAAATTTTGCATTCCATATAAACCTTTGCTAAAAACTTTGAGAAACATCCAACATATACCGTATTTTCACGACTATAAAGCGCACTTAAACGTCTTTTTTTTTTCCTCAAAATGTGCGGTGCGCCCTATGGTGCGGTGCGCCCTATGGTGCGGTGCGCCCTATGGTGCGGTGCGCCCTTTGGTGCGGTGCGCCCTATGTGTGTTGTAACTGCGACTTTTGAGACCACCTCATTGAGGAGATGATGAAAGAGTGGCTGAATGTAAGGAGACCAGGTGTTTTTTTTTCCACTCATCACCATCGCTGTTAATATGTAACTCCATGCGTGCCCATCTCACAGCTGATGTGAAAAACATGGGGAAACAAATTAACGCTGTGCTCGCTGTTCAACCGCTCGACATCGGTGTGAACCGGACCCAGCAGGTGCAGCAGAAGCAGCGAGTTTACATGCAAAGTCAATGGTTGACGCGCGTATAGGCACAGCAAAAGGTCCCGCAGCGCGTTTTGAGCAGCAGCCGCAGCGCCTCGGGAGCGTTTAAGCATCTGACGCACCGCCAACGCGCTGCTGCTGCTCGAGATGGAAAAATTGAAGTTTTGCTGCTGGACGCGCCGCATCAACCAATCAGAGAAGCTGATCTGGGAGCTGACAGCGAGACAGACACAGCGCTCTGATGACATATGATATTAACGCAAAGAAAAGGGCTGGATGGATGAGGAGATGATGAAAGCGTGGCTGAGGGAGGTGTATGTGAGGAGAACAGGTGTTTTTTTCCACGCATCACCATCGCTGTTAATCTGTGACTCCATGCGTGCCCATCTCACAGCTGATGAGAAAAACATGGTGAATCAAATGGATGCTGTGCTCGCCGTTATCTCGGGGGTCTGACAAAGGAACTTCCACCGCTCGACATCGGTGTGAAGCGGCCGTTCAAAGTAAGGCTGCGAGCGGCGTGGGAGCGATGGATGACAGACGGAGACCACAGTTTCAGGATAAGTGGAAGGCAGCGCTGGGCAAGTTACGCCACCGTTTGCGGATGGATTGTAGATGCTTGGAATAACGTGTCTGCTGGCTCTGTTGTTCAAGCTTTCGCAAAAGCCGGGATTATTTCTGAGGAGCTGCGCTGCACGGAAAGTGACTCTGACAGCGAAGAAGGGGAAATTGGCATGTCTGATTTAGCGCAGCTGTTTAATTCAGAAACAGAGGATGATGACTTTGATGGGTTTGATTAATACTTTGTAATAAATACATGAATAAAGCACAATCATACTCAGTTTTGCTCCCGCTCTATTTTTCTACCTGAAAACTTAATTCAACAGCAGCCTCTGGGCGCGTCTCCTCCTCTTCACCGCGGCGGCTGGCAGGTGTTTTTTCATCTAAATAATCTAAATCTTGCAGCTATATTTGCTGTGATCAGGGGGAATAAAGTAGTTTTAATATGTTTTTAAGTGAGAAAGTCCACCTGAAAACTTAATAATTGCAGTCGGTTCATCCAGATTATCTATTTCTGTCGGAGGCGCTCAGACCCCCACATACCAGCGGTGCACCGACAGGAGAAATCCTTTCATCAGCAGCCTCTAGGCTGGGCAGCCTCCAGGTTCACCGGCGGCTGCTGGCAGGTGTTTTTCATCTAAATAATTTTAGCTGCAGGCACCAGGATACCGGTAATAAAAGCGAACAAATTCCGTCGGCAGGTTTCAGGATTTTAAGTTAATTTAGGAGTGATCACAGCGCTGTCATCTGCGATGTGTCTGTCTCACGGCCAGCACCCAGGTTTGATTAATAGTTTGTAATAAATACATGAATAAAGCACAGTCATACTCAGTTTTGCCCCCGCTGTATTTTTAAATACGCAGTAGAGGTATTTAAAGGTAGTAGAGGACATGTACCTGTATATAAAAAACGCGCCCTATAGTCCGGTGCATCTTATGTGTGTGTTAAATACAGAAATGGGACACATAACTGAGAGTGCGCCTTTTAGTACGGTGCGCCTTATGGTCGTGAAAATACGGTAATATAGAAAAAAGAGAATTTGAAAGGTACTGTATGCAGTTGCTCAAATTCATGTTCCCATGTCAATCCGCAGAGGTCAACCGGAGCTTCCAGATGTCCTCCTTTGTAGAGACCAAAGCTTTGGAGCTTCTGACTAAATCACCAGTAGAGTTTGTAGAGTATCCTTATTTAAGCACAACTGTCTGCTGTTTAAGGCCTGTGATGTGTTTGTTGTGATGCTTGTTTGATTTCAGCTTTTGACGTAATAATTTACAGCAGACAGAGACCCACTTCACACTTCATCCCCATTCCTCTGTTACTATTTAGCTCAATAAAAGCCCCAGTGGGCTCTTTGGCAACATCTGGAGTTGTACATTAATATCTGTGGCTTCAGAGGTACAGTTTAGGCCATGCATGTGTTGGTGGAAAGACACAACTATTTTACTTTCTAATGATTGGTTAGTTTTGCTTGTATTGTACTACTGTAATAAACAATCATTTTTTTCCCTATTAATTACAGATTATCAAGATCACCCATAGTGACACAGATATGGTATTTTAATACATTTCCCATGGTGCATTGAAGTTTAATAGCATGCGTTTTTTAGACATTAACCAACATGTCATAATTTTGATCAGATTTATTAATGAGTTTAGGTTACAGCAATCTTAGAGACTCAGTGTTGATCTAGCTCTGCTGTGTTAACATGAAGTTGAGGAACTAGGAGACTTTCCTCTTTCAAAATTGTATCCTCTTTGCGCGCTGTTACAATAAACCTGTCAGTAAAGCAGCCCTATTACCGCGGTTGACTGCTGGTTCAGCGTAGGTCTGAAAACCTCACATTGACTCTTAGAAAAATACAGAAGCTCAACCTATATCTAGTGTGAAAATACAAACTTTTCCCAGAAATCTCTTGGCTTGTGGGAAGCTGTGCGTTTCAAATGAGCTGAAATGTTTCCATGTCATGGTCAGCACTGTTAAAGTCCATGATGAGGTTAAACTTACTTCACCGTGGAAACTGACCAACTCAGATTGAGCCTTGGTGGTTCTTGGATTACTCTTGAACACACAAACTTTGTTTTGTCTGAAGGTTGCAGTAATTTGGACACACTTAGATGTTTCAGCAATAAAATAATCCCTTATGCACATCAAACCTGGTTTTGGGAGGGTGACGAAATGGCCTCCCCTAAGCCCTTTTAGCAGTTTTCCCAGAAAGCCAAGTCTGTGAGGGAAACCAAGATATTTAAATGGGATCTTAGATTTTAACGAAGTGTGGTCTGATATCAGACTGGTAGAATTTTTCCTGTTACCAAAATCATGTGGTCAGTGCTGAGGGACAGTATTTGTCTGTATGAATCATTTTTACTCTGCAAATACTGTAAGATAAGAAAGAAAATAGATTTGAAATTGTGTAACCAGTTGGACTCAATATAATCTTGTGTCATTATTGTTCCCCATTGAACAAACAGGCTCAAATACATAATAAAACCTTAGGTTTATGTCAACTTTAACCAGAGCTGTCAGATTATTCTCCCTATATGAGGAGCTGTATACTTACACTAGATTCAGATCATGCTGTTCTTCACCTAACTGATTCTGTTCAGATACAATAAGCTGCAGCTAAGCAGGATCTACCCTAAAGGTACTCGGGTAGATTCTTCCAACTACAACCCTCAGCTCTTCTGGAACGCAGGCTGTCAGCTGGTGGCTCTAAACTTCCAAACAATCGGTGAGGAAAGGCGGCACTATCTTTTTAAATACATCTAAATGTCTAAAAGTTGAATCCAGCATCAGTGTCCAGGAAAACAAACCCTGTCTTTCTCCCTCAGACTTATCGATGCAGTTGAACCTGGGCATGTATGAGTACAATGGGAAATGCGGCTACAGGCTGAAACCAGAGTTCATGAGACGACCGGATAAACACTTCGATCCTTTTACTGAAAGCACAGTAGACGGGATAGTCGCCAACACGCTGTCTGTGAAGGTGTGTGGAGGTTTCTATTGATCCTTCTCAGCCTCTGTAGGTTTGTCTGTAGATGTTTCCCTTATTAATTAACATGAGGTGATCTGTGGCTGGAGGGCGCGTTGTTTATCTATGTGTGTTACTCAGAATCAGGTTGGGATCCTATGAAAACTTTACAATAATGATGCTCAGCTCAGTGAATACAGTATGTGACCAATACCTCTTTTAGGATCTGATTGTGAAATCCAGATTCTAATATACCTGAAATTGGACTGATTACAGATCATCTCAGGTCAGTTTCTGACCGATAAGAAAGTGGGCACATATGTGGAGATCGACATGTTTGGCCTACCAGTCGACACCAAGAGGAAAGCTTTCAAGACCAAGACATCTCAGGGCAATGCCATCAACCCCGTCTGGGAGGAGGAGGCCATTGTTTTCAAGAAGGTGGAAATCTCTCTGAAGTTTTAACTTTAAAACATCAAGTAATAAGCATTAAATTAGAAAAAGTTTATTATCTCTAACATCTGCAAAGCCACAATGTGTAAATTAGCTCTTTAGAGAAGTCTAGTGGTGATGTATTATCAGACATCCTAAAAAAAAAGAATAGAATATTTATATGGAACTGAATGTGGCTTTTGATCTTAGACATTTTCCCTATTTTCTTCCGTTCCCATGTTATTAATCTTGAACTTTCTTCTGAATCAGTTCAAAAATGTCTCCTTTTGTTTTTGCCTTTTTATGAGCTTGTAGGTGTAAATACTATATAGATATTTAATAGCTCTTCATGTTTCATATTTCATCATCACTCCCACTCAGAGCTCAGGTTTATAGGTATTTTCTAAAACAGGTTTTCAGATTTGTAATTATAAATTATATTTTAAATCTCAGGGCATAATATTTCTGTGTTAGAGATTTTTGACAGATACTTATTGTTATGCTTAGAATATGCATTTGTCTCTCTCATCAATATTTTAGTTATTCATTGTGAGCAACATGTTCCTATAATCTTTTACTTTATAAGTACATAACAATTCTCTCCACTTTTATGCTGAGTCCCTTTTCCTGGTTGTGTCATTGTATTGTTCTGTGGGCTTTTGCAAAAGGGAGGGACTTAAAAAAGTCTCTAAGTGTCAAAGATGCATTGTTTAATCCTTAGTCTTGGCCATCATACATTATCTGCTGAAATGTTGCTTTCCATTTTCAAAGTTTAAAGAGCAAACGACGAAAGCAGCTATTACTAATAAGTGCTGAAAGAGTTAGAAAAATATCCAAGAGTAGGTAATAAACTGTGAACTTGTCAGGTACGTGAAGGAAAAAAATGCAAAAAAAACTCAAAAGAACAACGAAGAAAATCCTTTTAAAAATGTATAATATTGGACCATATAAAAAATAAATTCAAATCAGACTGAATGTTTATTCCAACTTCATTTGAAAATTAAATCTTAAATTCAGAACTGTGCAAATAATCAGGGGACACCTATTCTTTTGCTACATCAGTTAAATAGGTCAGAAGTCTACTAAAGAAATTCATCAGGATTACAGGAGACTTTGATTTAGAAATGTATGATTAAGCGTCAAAGTAAAGGCTTAAAAAGCAGGGGATGTGCTTTAATCTTTTATTATCCCAGGTACCATTTTTTGGTAAGTTGCATATAAACACCGCTTTGCAGGAGACAAGATAAAGTAGGGAGGGTAGAAGTGGTCTGCAGGGTCTGTAAGGTCCACCTCTGTGCTAAAGCTGAGCGTAACTGCTTAATAGAAAACCACCAGTAATCTAATGTTGCTTATTGGGTTTTTTATGTTACCAACTGTAGATAAAGTTAAAAAAAAGGTTAAAAAGTGAAGTTCATAACTTAATAAGCTAATCAAAAAAGACAAAAAGCTGATTCAAAGAGTTAAAGAGCTGTTTTACAAAAAGTAAAAAAATATATATTTCATGGACTATCATGAATGTTCTGAGGGTGAAGTTGTAAGAGAAAAGTTTCTTTCTTTTACGAGTGTTTTTCATAAATCTTTTATGGAACCACTCTGGATTTGGTTTTTCCATATTAGGGCAAATACCTGTTTTTTCTTAATTACTTTGAGCTTGATTTTTACAATGAAAATATGTTTTTTGTTTCCTTTAAATGTCAAAAAATATTTGATCTGGTTTTTTTTATTCAAAGTGTTTTGCTGATTGCCCTAAAAAGAGTTAATCTTAATCTTGTCCACATAAGCTCAGATCCTGGATCATTGTCTAGAAAACAGCTTCTATCCCATTGATGTTTCTTGAACCTTTCTATAATGGGATCGTTAGGTTGTCCTGCCCACTCTGGCTTCACTGAGGATAGCTGTGTTTGAAGAAGGAGGAAAGTTTATTGGCCACCGCATCATGCCTGTTTCAGCTATCCGTCCAGGTAAAAAAAAACTTATTTCATGTTAAAGTCATTTAAAAAACCAGGTAAATAAAGATTCTTGTTTAAAAATTCTAAGCTTTGGGCATGTGTTTCAGGTTATCGATATATCAGTCTAAGGAATGAGAAGAACCACTCGCTGATGTTACCGGCCCTCTTTGTTTACGTTGAAGTGAAAGACTACGTCCCAGACACATTTGCAGGTAAATCATGGGCAGCGAAATGTAATAAAGATCCAAGTTTATTATCTGACATTAACCAAAAGGTTTTCTCCCTGCTCCTTAGATGTCATTGAAGCCTTATCCAATCCTATCCGCTATGTTAACCTCATGGAGCAGAGAGCCAATCAGTTGGCAGCTCTCACTTTAGAGGAAGGAGGGGAAGACGAGGGAGACAAAGAGGTATATGGATATTTTCAAAACTTTCAAATATCACATATGACTAATGTAACTGTGATATCTAATTTTTATATTATATATTTGACGTTTAAATTGCTTGACAGTTGTGCATAAATGTAACAGACTGACATAATTAGGGACCTATTTAAAAAATTGGGAATAAGATCCAAATCTAACCTCCAGCCTTGCTTTATTACAAGTTTATTGGTGTTTTTGTTTTTTGAAGTTGGACCCTTAGTTGCAGCAAAACTCCTAAAGCCATCATCCACTGTGAAACTCAGGATGATAAGGACATGTTCAGTTAATATTATGGTGTCACTTTTTATACATTTGCATTGAAGCTAAATATCAAGTTCTGAGTGTAAAGATGTCCACATTTTAATTTAAAACACATAGATTATTGTCCAGTCTGACTAAAAATACACTTAGTGTCTGGAACATTACACACCCTTTTAACTTTTACTACACATCCTTCAACGCTTACATATTTAAACCTAAGCATCCACTTGACACTTGTGTGCAAGAATAGAAATGATAGATCTAACCTTTAGGATAATTAGGTACTTTCTCCCTACTAGTTTAGAACATTTTAAATTTCTATTGAGTACATTTCATATTTGTAGATCTGTTTTGCCTCAGAAAAAATATTTACCAGAGTTAACATAGAGATTGATTAGTTAATCAGCTTCTTAGGTGAGATTGGTTTCTCTAACAAGGTTTTTAAGTTTTGTGCTTCAGTAGACAATTTAAGCTCTAAAGCCTCTAACACTTTACTAGTTTTACATCTACTATGTGTAGAGAATAATTGAAGATGCTGTTTACAGCTGTTTACATATCTGTCCTTTCCTTCTGTAACAGTCAACACAGATATTCAGAGGGGGTGAATTCACAAAGCTGTTTGTGCTTGTAAAAAATGTGAATGGCTGATGGAGCCATTGTCTGCTTCAGTAAATGAATTAATTCTTATTTTCAAGTAAGGTGTGACACCTAGAGGCAAGCAGCAGCACTGCAAGCACACAGCAAAATCTGAGGCTCCCATCTAGTGGACAATAGAAGGCTGTAAAAATTGCCAGAAAGGTTTAATTACTCATATGTTTACAAAAAACCACAAACAAGTGCATCACATATTTGTATAGACTCATGGTAATTTTAATATTCTAGGGCAAAAGACACTAGTAGAGGATACAAATTTAGAAATGTGCTATTGAGACAATTAATTTACTCATAAAATATATATTGTTGGGATGTAGTTTATCAAAAAAGTGAGACCAACAAACACAATTAAAATTGTATAAACAAATGAAGGACCTGCACTTATTACCTTCACAAACTAGAAATATTATCAGCTTGCTCTTTGGCCCATTTTAATTTGAGGTATTTATGAGTAATATCACTTCACCTATCTAGATCTATGGAGACACATTTTGAGGTTAAATCCTCCAGTAAGACTTCAGATCTATGTTAGTGTAACATAAGTTAGCTAAGCGTAATATAGCTGTTGTTGTTGAAAGTCCATGTCTATGTTTACCATAGTAGGCAGTTTTCAGCTGATGTAAAACAATTAATTAATAGGAAGAAAGATACTTACTTAGTTTTAGAGCAATAGAATATTCTGAGCTGAATGCAGGTGAACTAAGCCCTGCATTTATCCAAAGATGGACTTTAGAGAGGTTTTCAGAGCATTTTACAAAGAATAGCTATCTCCAGGAAATGTTTAATAAGTAATTTATTTGAAAATGAAATGCATTGCCAGGAGTGAAGAAGGGCACAAGATATGCAATCTCCTGTTTGCCACATCCTGCTTGTGTTACAGTAGTTGGCTTTTCTACTTTAAAGGTTATCAAAACAAACCATAGAGCATGGTTACACTTGGACAATGACAGTCAGTGCTGTGTGTGGCCCTCCCTCTATATACACACACACACTAAATAGAGGCTTCATCTTTCTTTTGTTTGTTCTTTTTTGTTTAACAGTTTGTTGAAAATGTTATTAGGTTAAAATAAAGAACAATAAATACAGGGCATCCAAAGTTCAGACAGCTGCACTTTTACCACATTTAGTTATCTTTAGGCCTTGTTCCAAATAGTATTAAAGTGAGCGCTATGCTTAAAATTGTACAAATAAAACCCAATTATGACAATTAGAAAAAAAGGGTTCAGAGATTTATTAGAAACAAAAAACACAGGAATCACACTTAAGCAAGTACTCACAGACCTTTCTATAAAGTTCTGGATTGAGTTGAAGTCCATCCTGTTTCATTTTTGAAATGTTTCTACAACTTAAAGAGTCCATCTAGAGTCAAGGCAATTGTCCTGAGGAACCAATCTGGAGAAGGATCCAGGAACACTAAAGCTTTAAAGGTCCCAGTTACCTCAGTGGGCTCCATCACGTGTAAATGGAAGATACCACCAGAGCTCTTCCTGCTCAGTGTTCAGGGGGGAAAGGCCTCGGTCAGGAAGCTGACCAAGAGCAATGATACAACACAATTTAGACAATTTTGTTTAAATAGAAAAATTGGTGGAACAGATGTCAGGACACCTCACTAGAAGTGAGGGTCAGCCAACAATGTGTCTTCTCCTTTCTGGCAACTACTAGTAATTTTGAGCACAACATTTTAGTAGCAGCCCTGTTTCTCTGGCTGCAGCTTCGATTTATAGGCCTTATAAACCAGGGAGCATTTCCACAAATATAAGCAACACTTATTTTAATTTGCCCAAATAACCCAGACATTTCTGAGCAATTTTATCATCAAGGACAATTAAAAAAGTTAAACTAAAAGTAATAACGATTAAATGAGACACTTAGTGTAACATGCTGTGAAAGAAGCAGCAATCTGTGTAAGCAGTTGGAGTTTGTCTTAATTGACATAATGCAGATAAGCAGCCAGTGATTAAGGAGGCTGCAGGGTTCAGAACTCCATGGCACTGTGAATTATAGATTGTTGCATTAAAAATGTATCTAATTGGTTTGAGGCTTTGTAATTTAGTTAATTCTGATTATTTTTTTGTTTTTATAAACCAGTACTTGACCCAACAGGAAACGTTTTTAGGTTAAATTAGTTTGCACTTCATATTGATCATTATACCTCGCACGGATCATTCAACTTACTCCACCAGAACAGTTTTAGTCATTGATCAAGAGAGCATCAGGGAAAAGAATGGTGAATGATATTTAGAATAAAAAGTAATAATTTGAAAAGTTAAAATGAGGAGAAATTTAGAAGGTTATTAGAAAAGTTTCTTAAAAAGGCAGTTGTCCCTAAGGGACCTCTTTTATCTGCTTTGCCAGCTAATATGATCACCCTAGAGAATTACTTGTTTCAAGCTGTGACCATGACAACAGTGACCATATGAGGCAGAGCATAACAAGGCGGGGCATAAATGTAGCGAGGGAGCAGAAAGGGAGCACAGACCTGGTTTAAAGACAGGACGGCACTTGGTGTGAACTCAGCTGGTCGGACTAAGTACTAACAGGAATGCTAAGAGTGGGCTACCAGCGATATGTCTACAAACTGTCCTGGACAGCAATGGTAAAAGAACTCAACTCTGAACTAGTTAAAAAAGGAATTGGGCCAAAAACTATTTGTTTTTACATCCCCAAAAATCATCATAAGATTTGAACCATTATTTTTTGTTACTTAACCCTTTAACTGCCTGGTCAGCCAAGTGGTTGACCGTTTGCTGGACCAGGCAGTTCAAGGGTTAATATATCAAAAACTAATTATTTGGTACTTTAGTAACTGGTGTCTCTGTCAGAGTTAAGCTTGACATTTGTGTTTGTGATCAGGTGGAAGCAGGAAGTGATGCTCTCCCAGAGTCTAAAGGGGACCAGAGGGTAGCGGTACCTGCTGAGAATGGACTGAGTCACACTCCAATCATCGCCCCCAAACCTCCATCACTGGTCGGCCATCAGCCTCAGTCTGCAGGTACAACACTGAATCAGTTATTCTCTAATTTGTTGTAAATTAGGACCAAATATTCTGTGACTATCTTAACTTTATGTGTCTGGAGGAACAGGTTCACTGAAACCATCGGTGAAGACGGAAGACATCATTCAGAGTGTCCTCACTGGTAGGGTTGAACATAATCTAAATAGTCAGTTTTAAAAATGGTCACATGATACTCCAGAAAAACCTCCAAGCCAAAATTTGCATATCAGTTTCTATTATTAGCAAATATTTTCATGGAAGCCTTCCTAAATTTTACATGTAATGTCTGTAAGTTACAAATCATCCCCCATTTTTCTTTTCTGCTCCATCATTTCGGTTCAGAGCTGGAGGCTCAGACGGTGGAGGAGCTGAAGCAGCAGAAGGGATTTGTCCGAGAGCAGCGGAAACAGTACAAGGAGATGAAGGAGCTAGTTAGAAAACACCACCGTAAGACAAGCGAGCTGATCAAGGAGCATACAGCTCGCGTTTCTGAGCTGCAGAGCCAGCATCAGAGGCGCCGCTCCACGCTGCAGAAGAGCCACAAACGTGACGGTAAGAAAAGGTAGGTAAAACTTTTCCTCTGCTTTGCTTCATAATTCATTGATGGGAATCCCATTAAGAATGATTGAAATATCTAATAACAAATGCATAGGTACATTTCTAAACCACACTTGAGCAAAATATAATTTTAACGTTGATAACATGATAATTGGAATTTTATGTATAAAGAAAAATATGACTTAAAATTCCACTCTTACATTAGTTTCTTTGTGAAATGATTTTCCAATCCTACTAAGGACGCTCCCCTCAATCTCTCTGTAAGAAGGTTTTAGTGCAAATGCGAATGTGTAACAAGGTTTTTGACTAAAAAAGTAATTTATGACATCAGCTAACATAAAAATGTGTTACACAAATGTTAAACAGCCTTTTACTTAATCTACAGAGAAAAACCTGACAGATCCAACCTTTTGAAGATTAAACATTTGGCCTAATCTCAGGAACATTTACAAGACTCACTATTCATTTTTAAAAGAATGATTTCATCATCCTACACATCAATCCTTATTTTAAAAAGTACTTTTAGATAAAAAAAAACATTCCTTATTTATTCTTTGAAGTGCACACATTTTTATTATAAATATCTCTTACATTTAAGATATATTAATATTTACCACCTTACTAAAATGATGGTTTCAATCATTCAGTTTTATTTTTCTATGCCTGTAATTCTTTCTATAGTTTTACAGGAATCCTAATAAAAGGCTGTTCATATAAGTGTCTCTCACTGTGTTTTATATTCGACCCAAGTCGGTCCGAAAACTCCCTGTCAACTCTGGACCAGGAACTTTGTGAGCTGGAACAGGAGTGCAGCCAGAAACTGGCAGAGCTGAAGGAGCAGCAACAGCAGCAGCTGCTCACACTCCGCCAAGAGCAATACTACAGTGAGAAATACCTGAAAAGAGAACACATAAAACAGGTGCGTGCAACACATACATGTCGTAATGTCAACAATGGGTGGTGAGGTTGCTCGAGGACCCAGATGCAGAGACGAGTGAAGCAGAGATGAGTTCTGAGAGGTTTAATTGCAGACCAAAGGGAGCAGAGGCAGAAATCCAACTTAAAGTATTAAACAAACCAAAATCATGGAGACATCAGGGGAAAAAACGAGTCTGAGGAGCCGGGGAGAGACGAGCAGGGTAGACAATACAGCAAGGAGAAGGAACCAGCACTGAGTGACTGCAGAGATGGAAAATTTAAGGAGGAGCAGGTGTGGGTGGAACTGGCAAGAGGGAATCCAAGGGGAAAGAAAACAATCGCAAGGGGGCAACAGAGAGTAACCAAAGAATGCTAGAATATCATGGAAAATAAAAACAACTGATAACAGAAAACTGAAAACTCAGAGTCACAACAAATGAGAACCATAACACGTAAATTATTACACAGAGCAATATATGTTCTAAGTGTTTATATTTATTGAGTTTGCTGATCATAGCTTATCAAAACTAGAATTGTTCTACGATCCACAAGGAGGAAAGCAATGAAGAAGCTTAACTAGGATTTAGAATCAATGACCTTTTAAGCATATTGATGGAAAGTTTAGTGGTAGGAAAAACTGCGATTGAAAAAGATGCACGACTCAGATAATATTTAGGAAAATTTTAAAGTTCGGTACATATTCTGCTAGAAATGACAAATGCGTTGTCAAACTATAAAAACGTTTCTTTTGTTTTGAAGTATTCATGTGAGAAGCCCAGTTGCTGAAGGTCTCCCCCAATTTAGCTTAGCTCACACACAAAAGGAAACACAACTTCACAGTAGCATTGTTTGTATTTGTAAAAAGGAAGGGAAGAAAAAAATGCTTTAAATTCATGTAATAGATCAGTGTGCAGGTGTTCACATCTGAAATAAAGATCAGAATTCTCCACCCTAAAAACAAAAGGGAAAGAAAAAAAAATGTTCCTCTGCTTTTTTTTAAGTAACAACTGCATCTAAATCCTGACCAGTCACAACAACGACACGGGATATGCTGCATGAAAAATGATTTGCTCAGATGTTGTGGAGAAAAAACAGCAAGATCCCCAAACATGGCACTGAGAGGGCAAACATTTATGGAGTATGTTGGAACCTGTTCAAGAGCTTTAAGGAGACTCAGAAGGGCTGCAGCTGGAATCAGAGCTCAAAGAAATCAAAACATGAAAGAGTCTACAATTCCTTGTGGTAAACTTTTCCCTCGACAGTTTTAATTCCAGAAACATCCAAGTTTCTTAAGTTTTGTATGAAACTATAATCCAGTACACTAGATGTGTTTTTTATAGATCAACACCCCTCCCTAAATAAATAAAGAATTATGTTTAAGTCATGGTTCCCACCTAAACATTACTTATGAGCATCCAGAACCTAATCATGAACATGCAGTTACTTTCTTTGGGATACACTGATGGTACACTCAGACTGCAGCTTGCCTTGACTTGTCTGTTGGATGGATGATGTGCTGACAGCGTCTAAAGAACAGATAGCACAAACAAGGGGATAAATGAAGGCTGCAAACAACTCCAGGTCATCCCCCTAAAGAGTTTCCGAGACATGGCTTTGCTGCCGGTGCCGATGTTCTGTCGGATGATGTGGAAAACCAAATGTGTTCAGGTCCACTGCTTCTGCTCAGTGAACACAGCTGAGGTGTTAGAAAGGTTATGCCGGGGGAAGAGGATGAGCAACAAGTCTAACTGCTGATTGATTAAATCAAAAACAGAAAATGTTCTGCTCTGTTGAAAGTATAAACCGTAAAATCGAATGTTTTTCTGTTTGTTTGGTCCGTTTGTTGTTTCCCAGCTGGTTGAGAAGCTGACAGCTATAGCAGAGGAATGTCAGAGTGCTCAGCTGAAAAAGCTCAGAGACGTCTGTGAAAAGTAAGATTGAGTTTATTAATCATAACCAGCAAACATAATGGATTTTTAACATCTCAAATGTTTTCCAACACTGGCAGAGAGAAGAAGGATCTGAAAAAGAAAATGGACAAGAAAAGACAAGAGAAGATCAACGAAGCGAAATCTAAAGACAAGAATTTAACAGAAGAGTAAGTTTTTCTAACAAGTGCTTGTGGGCTTTTGCCTCCATTATTTTGCTGTCATAATTTATTGACCACTAGATGTCACTGTAGACTAAATGTTTAAATTGGGTTTGTCCCCCTTAGAGAGAAGTTAGAGATGAACAGATCTTTTGTCAACGAGGTGGTGCAGTATATTAAACGGGTAAGCACAATCAAGTATCTGTTCATTTTGTTTCTTCTTAAATAAATATTCCTGATTCATTTGTTGGTATTGATAAGAAACACTGCCTTGCAAAACTAAATACGCCTTCCATCCTTATTGCTTATCAGTCAGGGTAACCTGGGGGGCTGGTACTTATTGCCAGCAGCTTATTGAACCACTGTTAAAGTGTTTACGCGACCTTAAAGCTTGGATATCTTTAAATTTTCTGAATTTTTATGAAGAAAAGACAGAAGTCATGGTCTTTGGTGGCAGCTCGTGTATACAAAATGAAATTTCGTTTAGAACAGCTCTGTCCATATTCAAATATATTTTTGCTTATATTACATCTGCAATCCTCAGTGACTTTTCCTTTTATTTTTTGTGAGTTTTATGTTACTGGAAAGCTGAAGGAAAATGATCCATATTTTTCTAACGTCTTTTATAAACACAAATCTGTAGAGTTTCAAGTTTGTTTTTATTCTCTCCTTGCCAGGTGAGAGTAGGGCATTAATCAGAGAAGCAGCCAAAAACTCCATGTTGACTCTGGAGGGGCCAAGCGGTCCAATCCGTGGCCAGGTCAATTATTAGTGCTGCACTCCACAAATCCAGCCTTCCGAGAAAGTGGCAAGAAGAGCAAAAACGATTAGAATTTTTGGTTCAGCTAACCATTTTAGAGCTATTGACAAACAAGACAGATGGTGCTCTAATTAGATGAGAACAAAATTAATATTTATTACCTACATGATGCATATCAAGCCAAGACTGCACAGATATGAGGTCAGTTTACACATCACGTTGTAGAGATGCTTTTCTTCAGCAATGACAGAAAATGATTGAGGATGTAGCTCAGAGGTCACAGATTAGCGGACTGAGGTCCAGAGATCCGGACCCGGAACCACCTACTGGCTGATCCAGACCCAACCTGATATAAAACATTGTATAAACTTCACTTGCCCCTCATGTTCATATGGTAAAGCCCTTCAGAGCATCTGGTACCTGGGTGCATGTGGTATAAATTAGCCAATGAGCTGTGTCAGTCTGGGTTGCTGCTGCTGGTTTATTTTAGACACAGCAGGCAAATCTGTGGCAAGCCGGGTGATGGGAAAGAAGAAGACGATGACAGAAAGAGAGCAGAAAAAATGTGGACTGCTGGAAGAAGTGGGGTGAACTACTGAAAGAAAAGTGAAATGACTCAAAGATGACCCTGCACATTTTGAGTATGTTTGGTTCAACCTACTGCGGTGAAGCAGGATTCCCCACCATGTACTAAAACTGAAATGTCGATTGCAATGCAAATTGTTGTTGACAATAAAGTTGATTGATTGATTGATTGATTGATTAATTGATTGATTGATTGATTGATTGACCGTAATCAAAAATAAATATTGATCCAGGCTAAAAATTAGCCACTTGATATGTGCTTTAGAATGGCTTTGTCGCCAGTCAAACCCAGGTTTAAAGTGTTGCAGGTCAGCCTAAAGCCCACTGCTCTGATTAAGCCAGAAAAAAGAAAGAAAGAAAAAAAGGGTCAGTTCAGGTGTTTTATTTAAAAAAAAAAAGTGAGTCAGGAAATTGTCTATATACCAAAATATACTATATTTTTTATTTAAAAATTTCAATTTACAACATGAATGCATAAACACCCCATTTTATTTAAATGTTAAGTTCTGTTTAAAGTAACAGATTTTCTTTATTTGGACCTCACTGATTTTTAATTGGTTACCCCTGTTATACATTATGGCTTTAGAGTGAATGACTATAGTAGAGAATAAGGGGTAAAACTGGAAAAGCAATGTCTTCAGATCCTCTATGCCCATTGTGACAGAGGCAGAGCTGTTGCAGAACAACAATGAGTAAAACTGTCTGTCCCTAGATGTGCAGAATTAGTAGAGATATTCCCAAGACTCTAAAATATAATTATAGAAAATAACAAAGGAGCTAATAACGCCAAATATTGCAGAATTATGATGCCAAAAATTGTATATTTGCAAGACACTGTAGGTAAAAGACCTCAACCTGTCTGCTTACATTTATAGCTGGAAGATGCTCAGAGTAAAAGACAAGAAAGGCTACAAGAGAAGCACAAGGACGTCCGGCAGCAGATCTTGGATGAAAAGCCAAAGGTGAGTTTGCAACACAGAATGCAGAGGTCTTTACTCATCAGGATACACTGATGTGTTTACACAGGGAGATGAATCAGCTAATTAGTTTTTTTTCAGTTTTTTTTTTTTTTTTTTTTTACAAGTTTTATTGATAAAGGAACATTTAAACAATGCTAAGTTCTACAAAGAATTAATCTGCTGGGAATAAACTTTGTTATTCCAGTCAGCAAGGCTTCTTTTTGATGTACAGATATAGTTATACATATCATATGTAAACAATTCTGTATACATCTATTATGCACTCCAAAGTTAGAGCTACCTTTTTACTGACAGTCTTACAAGAGCTGTTAGATTTTTTTTTAAAAGAAAATGAAATTATAAATAATCCTTCTCAAAGTCATGTTGTGTAGAAGTCCATTACAGGTTTAGTAGAGAAAGCTATGTGTGTATAAATGTAGTATGTTTGCAGCAGTATGTAAATGTAAACCTTGGAAAGAAAGTCTAGTGTATTGTTTTTTTTATGTAAATGTAAAGGTTTATTTCAGCCACTAGATGGCGATCTGAGCTACATTTATTTCATGCTGTCTTGTCTGTGGTGAAAATGACCTTTATTGAGTACTCTACAGTGTATTCCAACTGATTTTCTAAAACCATTAGTTATGTTTTTATGCTATGTTTTTGGTATCAGATTATGTCTAAATGTTTTATTGAGGACCTCCAATTATGCTGTTTATATGTTTGCTAGAAACTGGGTTATTGCTTTATAACATTCACTTCCTTGTAGCTGCACAGTCTGGTGCATTACAGCAATTAGTTACTAATACCATCATGTTTATGTATTTACTCTCTCTGTGTGGGTTTATTACTCCTGTTTCCGCATAGTCTGGGTAGCATGTCGGTTTTAGTTTCGTCACCAACCTTGTTGCAACCTTCTTTGTAGGACAATGTTTCTTCAGAACGTGGTAAGAATATCCGTGCATCCTGGTGTGGAGCACTAACTCAGCATAAGTGTGACATTTACAACATGTAAACAAACAGGCCTGCTGCATGGCAACGGTTAAATTCCAACTATTGTTGTATTTTTTCTGCCAAAGATTTAAGCTAAAGCCGTTTATTATATGAAGTGTTTTGTGAGTTATTACTGCAGCATTTGTAGTGTATACCACAGCATTTCTGCAGCATAAGGGCGTGCAGATTGGCCTGTGTATTGTGAGATCACACCTCAGCAGTGTTCTTGGATTCAGCGCCCCATGGTAATGATGCTTTTGGCAACATCCTTCATAACAATGGCTACTTTGGCATAAAAATCATTCAGGCAAATCATTTCATATATCATATATCTTATTTCTGTATCCATATCCCTAATTTTCTGGAACCCTATACCCAAAACCTTTTAGATCCGAATAGGACAGACATTAATCTACTTATTCTCCTATAATAACAGTTTAGCAATTTTTGATCAAAATGTACAAATATAGAATCAAATCAAGCCATTATCTGGTCATTTGAGGCCAAATTGAACTGTTTGTTTCAACAAGAGAAGTACTATTGGTTTGGAAAAAAACAGAACCCCCCCTAGTGTATAATAAAACATGGAGCTGGCAGCATTATACTGTTGGGTTAGTTTTTCTCAGCAGGGATGGAGAAGCTGCTGAGAGTTAATTAGATACGGGTTAGAGCAGATTACAAGGCAATACTGGAACAACTCCTGTTAATGTTCACCTTCCAACAACAGACCAAAACTATCAGAACTGTGATTAAATGTGATCCATTAAGGCATATTCACAGTATGTTTTGATTACTCATGTTAAAGTCCACTCCTAGAAATACTTCTAGCTGGAATTGCAGCAAAATACAGTTCTGCAAAGTATTAACTTTAAGTTAAATTCGGTTGTTTATTTTAAAAATCCTGTGTCCTTTAAGACTCTACAAATACTGTATGAATGGGTTGCAGTTGTGCGAATCCTTTTACAGGACTCGATAGACAGATAGAATGGGGATAAACTGAGGTCAAAATGAGCATGTATCCCAGAACATGAAGCTTTTTAGTACTCTGGCATATTTTGAATTAGAAGTGCAGCAAAAATAAACACCAGACTTACATTTTTTTATTTGGAACACAGGTGTCTCGTTTCTGCTAAGCCCATTTGGATTTATGTGTTTTAAGCAGTGGTTGATCTATTGTTGTTATAGCCATGCTACTGCTGACTCCTGGCATGTAAAACTGCCTCATTTGAACAGGAGAAGCTGAGATGTGATGCAGAGCACATTAACCACTTGAACTCATAAGTTAGTGTTTTTTCTTCCACTAAGAGAAACCTAAATCTCAAATCTTCTACTGAAGACAGCTTTGTAGCCTCCCACACTCAAACTGACACCTCCTCATTTCTTTAAAACCACCTGGACTGGAGTGTGGGAGGTGAGGAGCAGACATCTAGTCCAATAATTCATGCACATTCACTTGTCGATGACTTTCCATGAAAGTGCACTAAAGAGGAATAAAGTGTTCCCTGGAAAGAAGAAAATGTTTGGATGATGTGGTATTGGAGGAGGTTGTTCTTGATATTGATTATCTCCCTGAAGCCAGCGGTGAATTAGGCTACTTAACTGCTCCTCTTGTCAACTTCCTGTGGTGACTATCATAATCTTCCTATGAAGTCATTTTTAAAAGTGAGTCTTGATTTGTTATAAACTGTATGAATCAAAGGCACAATGATCTAATCAACCCAATCTTGTAGCTTTCTTCAGGGAAAGTAATTCCACCCATTTATTTTTTTCTCCCCACTGAATTGATTATCCATCACCTAACCACCTGTCTCAGGCAGTTTTAATCAAAAACTAGGCCATTGCAAATGTAATTCACCAGAGTCAGGCTGTTCCAGTAATTGGTCATTTCTGCAGCTTTCGTGGAACGACAGTCATCAGCATGCAAAATGAGCAGGTGTCAGAGGACACAACTCTGGAGACAGCGAGCAAAGTTATCCTGCGGTTATGTTAATGCGGAGCTCAGAAGCGTGACTGTCTCATCCGCATTGAAGCAAGCATTTTGTTCCCATAAACAGCTTCCTACACAGTTTGAAATAATCAGAAAGGATAGAATTCTATTTAAATATATCCCATATCAGGATAAGTATGGGATATTAAATCAACAAATGAAAAATTTTTTTGTTATTAACTGTGTACTTTATAATGAATAAAGTTAAATAAAAAAGGTTGCCCCAATATGTTTTTACATATAAGATATCCTTGCTATTACGCTGGGGGTCTAAACTCCACAGTGTTAAATATGCAGTGTCAAAATAGATTTACTCTTTTAGAGTTATTACAGCAACAACTGGAGTAAGCTATAGACTATTAGTTAATTTAACACTAATTTAGAGTGGGAACAAATGCACTCAGATTGATATTAAATGTTACACTTAAAGTGTTACTTTAATACTGCACAATTTCGGAACTATTGGACTAAATTTGCAGGGAGTGTTTGAATTTGAATCTAATAGTGACCAAACTTGAGCATGAATGTTAAAGTTACACATGTAGGAGCTTTGAGTTTGATGTTCTAATAGAGTATATATTCCTTTTTAGTTCATTTGTACTGGCTGTAATGGAATTAAAGCCATTCCAATGTAATTGTTGAGGTCCCTTTGTGTGATTTTGCAAACTAGCAAGGAGCTAGAAGATGGCTCCATCCAAAGACTAAAACTGTCCTTTATGAAGTCATAATTAAAAGCTACATTGGCAGACATTGATAAACAATATTTGTTTTAAGCTATAAGCCCCAAAATATGGAAATGTTAGTTAATAGAAACATTATACTTGATAAAATGGGACCTTGGACCTCCAAGTGCATTGTGAAATAATTTTGCATTGTGATAGGCTTTGCTACTATTAAATAGCAAATATTGTTAAATATTTCTTAGATATATCATTAAATGTTATTATTTAAATCTCCACATTGGGATAGTATGATCCTGTACAGTATTTAGACACTATCTGCTAATGCATTTACATTAAAAGGGAAAAAAGTGCATGAATAAAAAGTATTTGTCATTTTATTATTAGGTGAATGTAAAAGTAAACAGATATATTCAGCAGAGAAGTTGTTGTTTTTTTTTTCTATTCTGGGCTGCTTTAAAAAAATGTTCATATGCATTAGCTTTTCTGAGTAATAGAACAGACAAACCCCCTGTTGCATGAGGTTCTGACCCAGTTTCTTCCCTGACCTCGTAGCAGCCACTAATGGACATCTATAACTGTCTCTGGTGGATGCTCTTGGCTAAGAACCGGCCTTTAAAACATTGTCTGTATTTATAAAAAGTATTTATTTAGAAACATTTAAAATAAACTTACAGGCCACTTCATTAGGTACACCAGAGTTGTGCTCAGTGAGGTGTTTAACTCTTTGTGGCATAGACGCAACGAAGTGTTGGAAACATTGATCCAGGGATTTCATTCCATATTGATACTGGCATTAATAGCATCACATTGTCGGTAATGGTTTCTCAAATACACATCTATGATCCAAATCTCCTCTTTAGTTTATTTTATTTGAGTTTAGTTTAATACATTCTGACTAGGGATTAAGCAAAGCTGCCTTCCTAGGCCATTGGTAAAAAGCAAAACAGATCCATGCTTTTATTGTTGCTTTACAGCAAATCCTTATTCTACCATCTGAATATTGGGGCATTTTTCAAATCTAATATTGCTTAGTTTTGTTGTCTCAGTTCATCAGGTATGGTCTTCTGCTGCTATATCTCATCTGCTTTAAAAGTCAAGCTATGGTGCATTCAGAGATGTACTCTACAGTACCTTGGTTGTAAAGACTTACCGTAATATTAGAGCAGTAACAGGCTTCCTACCATCTCCTCCCGTTATCCTCTTAGTTCGACAGGACATTTTCATCCACACATCTGCTGCTCAGTGAAGGTCTGTAATAGTAGTGCATCAAATTTAGATCAGTTCCTACCAATACTCAGATTACAGTTGTTGTCCATTCGGCATCAATAATTTTGCTACATTTA